GAAAACTACCCCAAAAAATAGTTAAAAGATAGTCCAAACATAGTCCGGGGATTTTGGTTCCGTGTTTGGTTCCCAAACATCCTGTGGTGTTGGGTCCTCGTTTTGAAGAGACGTCGCCCTGCGTTCTCCTCCTCTCCTCTCCTCCTCCCCCTCCTCCCCCCTCATGCGCCCCCCCCACCCAGTACAGCGTTTCGTAGCACCATAGGGAGCTCCACCGAAGGCCCCAGTGGCAGCATTCGCATGGCGGCCTCGGGCCATTTCGGCACACCCCTCACAAGGATCGCGGCCCCATTAGGAGCTCCACCGAAGGCCCCAGTGGCAGCGTTCGCTTGGCGGCCTCGGGCCATTTCGGCACACCCCTCACGAGGATCGTGGCCCCATAGGGAGCTCCACCGAAGGCCCCAGTGGCAGGGTTCGCATGGCGGCCTCGGGCCATTTCGGCACACCCCTCACGAGGATCGTGGCCCCATAGGGAGCTCCACCGAAGGCCCCGCATGGCGGCCTCGGGCCATTTCGGCACACCCCTCACGAGGATCGTGGCCCCATAGGGAGCTCCACCGAAGGCCCCAGTGGCAGCGTTCGGATGGCGGCCTCGGGCCATTTCGGCACACCTCTCACGAGGATCGTGGCCTTATAGGGAGCTCCACCGAAGACCCACAGTGGCAGCGTTCGCATGGCGGCCTCGGGCCATTTCGGCACACCCCTCACTAGGATTGTGGCCCCATAGGGAGCTCCACCGAAGGCGCCAGTGGCAGGGTTTGCACGGCGGCCTCGGGCCATTTCGGCTCACGAGGATCGTGGCCCCATAGGGAGCTCCACCGACGGCGCCAGTGGCAGGGTTCGCACGGCGGCCTCGGGGCATTTCGGCCTACCCCTGACGAGGATCGTGGCCCCATAGGAGCTCCAGCGAAGGCGCCAGTGGCAAGGTTCGCACGGCGGCCTCGGGGCATTTCGGCACACCCCTCACGAGGATCGTGGCCCCATAGGAGCTCCAGCGAAGGCGCCAGTGGCAAGGTTCGCATGGCGGCCCCGGGCCATGGCGGCACACCCCTCACGAGGATCGTGGCCCCATAGATGTGTTGCTTCAACAACCGCCTGGGCGTCGTACTCCGCCGCGTCGACGTGCAACGCCACCTCCTCCCTCATGGCTCTCAAAGCCCCCTTCTGCTTCTGCTCCTCGGTCAGAGAGACGCCGTCCGTGTCGTCGTCGGCGCCCGCGAAGACGGCCATGAACGTGTTCCTGAGCATGTCGGGTTCTGGCGGGAAGCTGTGGCCACATAGGGAGCGCGGGCAAAGATGGTGTTCACAATTGCGGTATTCATAACTGCATATGGTTTGGTCCTTCGCCAGATTATTTTTTGTTTTACCTTTTTGGTGTATTTTTGGGGTATTTGTATTTGTTCGTCGAAAATCCTCCTGTAGGGGGACACGCCCGACGTGAGCGTACCTCCACCGGGGGCGCTCCCGTGCGGGGGTGCGCACCATGGCCGCGGCCACGCAGCCTCCCTGGGCTCCCCGGCCCCCCTTCGTCTCCGTTCCGATGCGCCCCGTGGTCCCGACTGGGCAGCGCCCGTGCCTCGGCCCACGACATATTGCCAATCTGCGGGCAATAGTCATATCCACATCCAGTGCGTCTTGGATTCTTGGGCTCTCTTCTCCAGAAACCGCAGACGCACTGGATATGGATAAAAATCTGGCCCCACGAGGCTTGATTCTATCCATGCCCGGTGCGTCTCGGCGTTGCGGCACCTCTTCCCGAAAAGCCCACGCCGCTCTGGATATGGATATAAATACTGCCCGCACAACCCCCACCCCCCGCCCCCCCTTTCCCTGACCTCCCAGAGAGCTATTTCTTAACACTGGAGGCCTAAAAACTTGAAACCAACTCAGCGAAACCGCTTAAAACCAAGACGTAGACTAGCCTTCGGATCGGTTTTTCAGTCGCGTGCTATGTTTCAGTCCTCTTGGAAGGTCAGGGTTCTTGCCAACCCCCACCCCCGCCCCCCTTTAGGGGACGCCCTCCCCCTTGGACGCCCTCGAGTCGAAGAAGAAGAGCATTCACATCATGAACATAAACTGTATCCGCGCTGGGCCCCCCGCGGCGGCTCCTCTGGCGCCGGCCCCTGGCCCGCTCCGCGCGCCAGGGAGGGGGGTCCGGCGCGGATGCGAGAAATCCGCTCGGAGCGCCAACAGGGTTTGTGTGTTCTCGTTCGCATCCGATCGATGCTCCACACACCTCCTCCCTCCTTTCCCCCCCCCCCCCCCGTGGTCCCCAGCGGCCCGCACGTGGGCCTCTCTGGAGGCCCCTGGAGGGCCCTGGGGGCCTCCAGGGGTCTCCAGAGAGGGAGGCGGGGGAGGATCAGGAGTGGCCTCACCGACCCCGAGCAAACCATCCTCTTTCGTGACGTCCCGGTCGCCTGGCCTCAAGACGCTTGTATGCGGCCGGAGGGAGGCTTGAAAGGCCAAAGAGGCAGCAGGTAATTTGGTTTTCGCAGTTCGGATCTTCTCCTACTCCTGCATTGCTTGGCTGGCTCATACTCCCTGCTCTCAGGGGAATGCATCCTTGCACCTTGTTCATTTCGCACCTCTCTATTTTCCGCTACGCTAGCCAGATTTGTTGCGCTCTGCGCCTCAGCCGGACATCACGTGTTCCGTTTCTCGCGCTAGCGTTTCAGTGTCGTTGTTGCACGTCCGCCTTGCGCAAAAAATGAGGCAGGAGGAGCACCACAACAGGGGAGGAATTTGGAGGATCAGGACGACGACGACGACAACGACGACCACGACGCCTACGACGACAAAGGGGTCCCTGAACTTCGAAGTTGCGTAAAAATTGCAACACCGCCGAAGTCACATCCGGTGCCCTAGACCCAGTCTTCCCGCGCCATTTTTGTTGAGCCGCATCGATCTGTGATGATCCCGGGGCTCGACTGGGCGAACATGTCTGGTGTGAAAGATTTGGGACGCCTGGATCTCAGGGGACGAAGGCGATTACAAATGGAAGGACGACGTCGACGACGACGGCGGCGGCGGCGACGGCGACGTCGACGGCGATGACGGCGACGATGCAGACGAGGCGCCCGCCCCGAGGCGTGGCGTGAGCAGGTCACTGGCTTGCTGAACCAGGCTGCGCAGGCCTCACCTGCCCCATCCCGCTCTTCGTGTTTCTGCTCTTGCTGCTGCTGTTCCTGAGCGCCCTCCTTCGGTAGCAAATGATGGGAGTCTTGCACAGGGAGTTCAAACAAAAACTAGGACGGCACGCCCGGCCTCAGCTTCGCGGAACTACGTTAAATCATGTTTTTGTTTTAAATATTGTATTGTGTTCCATGCCATGGGACCGTCCAACCATCAGCACGACCCCCAGCACAACCACCCGTTCAACCACTCGTTCAACCACCAGCACACACGCCAGCACAACAACCACGACGACCCGCACAACCACCACCCGCGCAACCACCCGCACAACCACCAGCACAACCACCAGCACAACCACCAGCACAACCACCAGCACAACCACCAGCAACCACCAGCATGAGCACCAGCATTACCACTGGCACAACCACGACCAGCGCAGCCACCAGCACAACCACCCGCACAACCTCCAGCGTGACCACCAGCACAACCAGAAGCACAACCATCAAGCACAACCACCGGCAGCGAAACCGCCGGCACAACCACTGACGGTAATCCCTTGCAAATTGGGAGTGTGATGCCGAGCGCACCCACACAAATTCGTGGTGGTCCATCCTGCTAGCAAAATCATTTGTTTGTTTCATGCTGCGTCGCTGCGGCTTTTCTAGTTGGTTTAACCTTCCAGTTTTGTTTCTGCCACGCCTCGGAGATGGGATATACACGCGACAACCTGGAAGTTTACATTCTTTTAACAAAATATGTTTGTCCTTTGAACTCCCTGTCTTGTGTTTTAAATCCGTCGTTGCCATAGCGTCGAGCAGCGTCGGTAATCGATGCGATTAAGCCGATTTCGCGTCAAGTTGCGTTGGCTAGCGTGGACTAGCCTTCTTATTTTGTCGTTCACCGTCGACTGGCGTCGATTAGCGTCGGCGAACAAGATGGGATGGGAGGGTCCCATGAGTTGCCACCGAACTCTATCATCTCCTTCCTCCTGCTCATCTTCTTGCTCGTTCGCCACCCCCTCTTGCTCGGATGGGACGGGCCCTTTCTCCGTCGAATTGCGCAGAACACGATGGGTTCCCTCTGGGAAGTGCAGTACTCCCCTGCTTACCGAGAATGGGGCGGGGGAGTATCCGTAAGGGCTTCGCCCCCTGCCGCCGGCCCCCTCTCTCGGAGAATGGGCCATGGAAGAGCAGGTTTTGGACCCTGACCCCGCGGATCTGCGTGAGGGATGGCACCGATTTTCAGAAATGTGGCAAATCTCCTTTGTTTTTGGACCCTGACCCCGCGGATCTGCGTGAGGGGTGGCACCGATTTTCAGAAATGTGGCAAATCCCCTTTGTTTTTGGACCCTGACCCCGCGGATCTGCGTGAGGGGTGGCACCGAATTTCAGAAATGTGGCAAATCCCTTTTGTTTTTGGACCCTGACCCCGCGGATCTGCGTGAGGGGTGGCACCGAATTTCAGAAATGTGGCAAATCCCCTTTGTTTTTGGACCCTGACCCCGCGGATCTGCGTGAGGGGTGGCACCGAATTTCAGAAATGTGGCAAATCCCCTTTGTTTTTGGACCCTGACCCCGCGGATCTGCGTGAGGGGTGTTGATTTTGAGCCCCCCCAGCAATTCAGACAACGCGCCCAGGTGGTGCTAAAAATCTGGTTTGGGCCTCCCTCCCCTCGCGCGGTGAATCAACTAGTTATAGAAACCAGCAAGAAGCAGAACTGTAACACTGGAAACTACAAACTACAACTGGTACAGGAAACTAGGAATCACGGGCCTACAGCCTGATGGCCCCACGAGGGGGCCGGCGGATTTTTTCGGCACCCCGAGGCGAACCCCCTCGACGCGGACGTATTCGTAGCACTGGGCGTGATGGAGAACATCAACTTCAATTACGACGGTGGGAGAGGGTTCGAAGTCAATGTTGGAGTGAGCTGCTGGGAGTACGGGTGCTGTCTAGCACCCCATGGCTTTGCAGTGGAGGTGTAGCACTCGGGATGTGGCTGCCTTTGTCATGGACCGTTGTGGGACAGCGTAGGGCATTTGTCCAAGAGGATTCTTCAGGGTACGTCGCAGCAGAAGGGGCCTCCGGAAGCCTTCCAGGAGAGAGGAAGGATGAGGACGAGAGGGAGGAGGAGGGGAGAGCGGATGAGGAGGAGGAGGAGGATGGGAAGGAGGAGGGCGGAGGAGGAGGAGGAGGAGGAGGAGGAGGAGGGCAGCCTCTGAGGAGGAGTAGGGGGAGAAGGAGGAGAAGAAGGAGGACGACGAGTCGGAGACGGAGAAGGAGGAGGGGAGGAGGAGCCCATGAGAGGGGGAGGGCGGAAGAGAAGCCGATCTGGGAGACATGAACTGCGGCCTCTGAGGCGGAGGAGGACGGCGGATGAGGAGTAGGAGGAGGTCTTCGGAGGAGGAGGACGAGTATGAACCCAAGTCTCATCAACGCAATTTGCAATCGACTCTGCCTCCAAGTGCCCTCTTGACTGTCCTGCTGCGTCTTGACGGTCCTGAATCGTGCCAGAACACAATTTCTGGGAGTCGTCTTCAAAAAACACCACAACTGTAGCGCCCTGACAGTCCGACATCGTGCCAGAATGCCAGTTTGGGGATGTTAACCATTTGATATTGCTGTAGACTCTTGAAACAAAGATGCGCGGCGAGAAGGCTAGAGCCACATGTTGAACACGACCCGCCCTCCATCCGAAACTCCCGCAAACTTGTAGGGCGGATGAGCGCGGCGCGGGGGCGAGAGTCCCGTGAAATTGTTGCAAAGTTTGTGGCGCATGTGCGTGGTGTTGAGGAGAGAGCCACATCGGAGGGCACCAACTATACACCAACACCGATCCTGGCCCAGGATCACCCTGGGCCCAGGATCGGTGTATATGCCTTCTTGCGCAAGGCAGGAGAGCGTATAAACCGATCCTGGGCCCAGGGTGATCCTGGCCAGGATCGGTGTTGGTGTATAGTTGGTGCCTTCCTACCACATTGGATAATTGCCCGTCCTGCATCCGTGACCCTGCTGCAATTGTCCAGTTTCTGGGCCATACGTGGTGAGGAAGTCTCAGGCGAAGCGCCCGGCCCGCCCTTTCGACCGGCCAAGGGGTGTGACAGGAACGATTCATGTATATAAGGAGACATAATGGAGGAGAGGGAAGGGGAATGAGCTGGGCTCGTGGCCTGCGATCTCGGGCTTGAGAATATCGAGCTCAGGACAAGATCAAGGTGCGCCTCTCCAGGAATGCTTGCGCCGAGACCTCCCTGGTAACGTTCTGGGGCCGGTTTGGCCACACTCATTGGCGGCATGCTCGCCAGTCGCGGTGCAAATGAGCCCCATTTTGAAGCAAAGGCGTGCAGACGGGGGAGGTCTTCATACGCAGGGCCGGGCGGTCTTCATACGCACACGCTGCGGCGCGCGAGGCCCCTCGGAGGAGGCGGTTGTCCGCTTTGCCTTGCATCGGGCCTCCCACGGCCAGCTCGGCTTGCGCACAAGACGCCCAGGCTGTGGCTAATGGAAAGTGCGCTCGTCTGGTGCTCGTCGTGCGCGGCTTTCGACTCTTCGAGGCTCCGTTTGTCGGGGGAGCCGTGCCGCAGCGCTCCCCGCATCAAGGATTCTCCAGAAAGAACCTTAAGCTGCTCAAGGAGGGGAAGGATCTATCCACCAACCGAAGCTGGGTTGAACCTTCTGCCTCACAATCCAACTCTAACTCTGTTGGTTTTGACTATCTGAGCGTCTTGTTTCCATCTGGGGGAAGACGTTTCCGCAGTTTGCAGGAGCTTGAAGGATGAGGGGGATGGGGGAAGAGCAGGGAGGGAGAGGAAGAGGACCGGGATGGGAAGGAGGAGGAGAAGGACGAGGAGCGAGCAGACAGCGGACGCCACAGCCATGGCGCTGGAGTTCGCCCAGCTGTGAAGGAGAGGAGGGCAGCGGAGGACCAGGAGGGCGTGGGGATGGAGGGGAAGGAGGAGACGGAGGTGCCGGCAAGGTTCCCAGTTGAACACGCCCTGGAGTCCCACGGGGGATGGGGAAAGGTGGACGAGGCGCTTGCAGGGACCCCTTCTTGCGTGGCATCTCCGTCGGGGCCTCGCCTGTCCCGCCAGTTGGCGTCTTCTCTTCTGCCCGCCACGGGCTCGACGTGGACTCGATGCGGAGTTGGCGTGGACTTGACAGGGATTCGACGCGGATTCGGCAGCTCCGACATGGATTTGACACGGAGTCGTCGCGGATGCGGGCGCGACGGGACAGACGAGGCCCCCCGAAGATGCAACATTACCGTTCTCTCACCCTGGGGCCGTCAGGAGACCATTATTAAGGAAGAGTTGGTCCAGAGGAAATGCCCTTACGTCCCAGGATCCGCTTCAAACAGTTTCCGCTTCCTGTTTGTCGGTGTTTGGGATGTTGGGCCATTGGTAGGACGAGGAACGTAAGAATGGGGAGGAGGAGGAGGACGAGAAGATGAGGAGGGCGAGGAGTAGGAGGATGAAGAGGAAGAGGAGGACGGGGAGGTGGACGAGGAGGAGGATCAGGCGGATAAGGAGTACGAAGTATGAGGAGGAGCAGGAGGAGGAGGACGAGGAGGAAAACGAGGAGGAGGAGTTGAACCTGAAGAGGAGGACGAGGAGGAGGAGGAGGAGGAGGACGAGGACGAGGACGAGGACGAGGAAGGGGGGGCCACGGAGGATTGGCGGCGGGGTGACGAGGACGAGGACGGGGAGGCGGGCGAGGAGGGGGGAGCAGGGGGAGACGAAGGACGAGGAGGAGGAGGAGGACGACGAGGCCGACGACGAGGACGAGGACGGGCACGAGGAGGAGCGCGAGGAGGAGCGCGAGGAGGAGGAGCGCCCCCCCCCAGCCGCCATCGCGGCGCTGGCGACCGCGTGCCGCCTGCGGCCGCACGACCACACGTGCTGGAACAAGCTCGGGGCGACGCTGGCGAACTCGGGCCGCGACGGAGCGAGCAAGGCGTGCGCTCGCCGCCCGTCGCTCGGAGGGCGGGGGCAGGTTTGCTTGGCATCGCTCGGACGTGTGCGTTTTTTTCTCGGCGAGGACCTCCTCCTCCTCCTCCTCCTCCTCCTCCTCCTCCTCCTCCTCCTCCTCCTCCTCCTCCTCCTCCCCCCTCCTCCTCCTCCCCCGCCCCGAAGGGGCCCCTCCCGTAGGGGAGGGGTCGGGACCCTAGGGTCCTCCTGGCGCAGGCGGGGAGCGCCGGGCCCGAGGGGCGAAAAGCCCCCGCACCCCGGGGGACGCCGCCAAAGTGCGGTTTCCTTCCCCCGGGGGGGTCGCCAGGTCCCGTGGCCTCCCCCAGGGCGGTGCTGGTTCCCCCCAGCGATCGCCGCCCTGGGGCGGGACCGGCGGCTCGTCTCTGTCGTGTCGTTCGTCCGTGTCGTGTCCTCGTGTCGCGTCGTTCGTTTCGTCCCCCTGTCGTGTCGCGTCGTGTCGTGTCGTGGCGGGCCGGGCCCCTGGGGTGGGTGGCGTGGGTTTGGCTTGGACTGGCCCCCCCCCGTTCTGTCGGCTGCCGGGTGTTTCCGGCGTGGCCGTTTCCGGCCGACAGAACGTGGGGGGAGGAGCTGTCCAGCTATTCCCACGCTGCCCGCTTGCGGGGGGCCCGCTGGCGCCGTGCGCCACCCGCGCCGTGAGCGCCCCGCGGCCGGCCGCGCGCCCGCGCGCGGGCGCCCGCCGGCCGCGGCGGCGCGCGGCTTTAGTGCTGTGCACTCCCCCTTTCGAGGGCATTCCACTCCAATCCTCCTCCTCCCCCCCTCCCCCTTTCCCCCCTCCTCCTCCTCCTCCTCCTCCTCCTCCTCCTCCTCCTCCACCTCCGCCCCGCTTGGCATCGCTCGGAGGTGTGCGTTTTTTTTTCCCCCCTTCGGCAAGGACCATCGAGGGGCATCCTCGATCATTTGGCGAAGAAGCCACGCACGAAGCCAAGCAAAAAAAAAACACAGGGAATGGGGGCGTCCGAGCGAGGGCGAGGGTTCGCTTGGATTCGATTTCGGCGATTTCCGAGTCCGAGTCGGTCTGGCCTAGCATGCCGATCCGGAGCCCGATCTCTCGCTGGAGGCTGAACCCCCCGCCGATGTCCGCCGGTTCGATGCATCCCGACTCGGCTGCCGAACTCCGCCGACCCGATTCATTTCGATCGCCGATCCGACATCGATTCGATTTTTTGCTCCCCTGGGGCGTGTGCAGAGCCACCGTATGGGGGGGATCTGCGGGGACCTCGGCAGGCGATGGATGTGGATATGCGCGGGCCCGCGGGGGCTCGGTATCAGCGTGTCAATGGCCACCGCTTGCCGAGGCCCCCGAAACTCCTTCCCCTCTGGCGGTGGGTATGAAGAGTTTTCGCCTCGCAGTAGCCGTCGTCGTCGTCCTTGTTGTGGTCGTTCTCTTCGACGCCGTCGTGGTTTTCGTCGTCGTCGTGGTTGTCGTTCATTGCAATACGATTCATACATGTTCCCACTACGGACGGTGGAACAAGGAACGCGGTTCGGATCCGAAGAGACACGTTGTTCCCCAGGTCCTTCCATTAGCGTTTTTTTAGCGCTTCTCGTGCACCTTGGCGCCAGTGGGGCCAAACCTGGGTTCCGTTTCTTACCCAGCTTTTCTCATGGTTGTAGTTTGATTGCAGTCGTCACCGCCGCCGTGGTCGTCGTAGTGGTGGTCGTCGTCGGCGTGGTCGCCGCTGCTGCCGCCGCCGACGTCGACGACGTCGACGTGGTGATGGTCGTCGTCGGCGTGGTTGCCGCCGCCGCCGTCGACGACGACTTCGACGTGGCGCGCGCGCGCGCGTTCGCGCGCGCAGCGCGCCCTGTGGGCCTTGTGCACCCAGCCACGTGCGTCGTCATTGTCCCAGTCGTGCGGTGGATCTGGGTATGACCCCGCCTCGTTGCATCGCACCCCGCCGCGTCCCAGCAGGGCTGGCCTGGCCTTGAGCGCTCTTCGGCAGTGTTGGGCACTTTTGGTGACCGTTTTGCCGTTTTGTTGGTGGTCGCGGTGGCTTCTGAGGCCGTCTAGGAACGCCCGTCAGAGAACCAGAAAGGATAGTATGCCAAAGTCCTACAAACACCTAAGGATAATCAGTGCTGTTTGCCTGTGGGGGCCTTCTTGGGGGGCCTGTTCGATGCTGTTCGAGGCGTCTTGGGGGCCTCTTGGGCTGTTGTGAGGCCATCGTGGGCGCCATGTGCCGATTTTTGGGCGCCTCGATGTTTTTTTTGTTGAACCGCTTTGGGGGCCGTTTCTGTTTTTTTGGCCGGTCTTCGCCCCAGGGGTCACGCGGCAAGCGCCGCCGACCTTTGTCTGTTTGGCCCAGGCCCTTTACATATTTTTCACGAGTGAGGATTGATGCTTCGAGGATTGGTCTTTGGATCTGAGTGCGCGCCCACTCCGGCCCAGAAGCGCGGTGGCGGATCCCCAATTTGAAGGACCACCCCAATCTGCGCAACCGTCTCCAATCATTTTGGGGCCATGAACTTCGCGGGCATCTCAAGCGACAGTTCTATTTTGAAAAAGAGCTGCCCTGGATCCGTGCTGTGCTACAGGCGTTGAAGTTTTAGGTTGCAGGCGTCCGCGCGGGCGCAACGCGTGGCCAATTTCAAGGATACGTCAAGTTGAATGCAACTATTCTCTGCTGAACGAATCCAAAAATAACGAACCCCACTCGTACTGTAACCTAACATGGTTGACCCGTTCTTCCGCCCTCATGGACAAAGAGGCTTTTGAAGAGGCCGCGATGGCGCCAGGCGGTGTTTCGGGGCAGGCGCGCCGCCGGCGGCGCGCGATTCTCGAGCGAGTTCTGGCCAGGGACGCCGAGCTCCGCGCCGCTGGGGCGACGTTGGCCTGGTTCGTGGGTTGCCTCGCCAACGTGCGCGCCGTCGCAGGGTCGAGCAACGGCCCTCTTCTCGCCGAGTTGCGTGGCGAAGAGAGTTACGAGGGCGCGCCGTGCGCGGAGGTTCTCCGCCGCGGCGCGCCCCTCGCGGGGCCGCCCCCGCGCGCGGGGAACTGGCGCCTGGCGGAGTCAATTGCGGGCGCTGCTCGCAGCGGCGCCACGCTGCCCAGCGCGCTACAAAAGCTGGCAAATCGGCGAGATTCTCACCAAAAAAAATGGCCGAAGCAGAGCTGGGCCGAAAGCGTTTAAACGCGCCGATCCGCTTGGTCGAGTTCGACGGCCCCTTTTCGACGCCGCGTTTCGGTGCGAGGCATGCGCGAGAGGGCGGGTCCGAAGGGCTTCGGCTGGTGGATGATCTGTCGCGCGGCTCGACTGCGAGGCCAACGGCGCCCTATTCGGCACATGAAAGGCCTTTGTGGCGCGCGTGGGCGAAGCGCTTCAGCTCCGGACGGCGGACGTCGACGCCGCGCTTTTGCGCGCCCCGCTGATCCCTGAACGCCGCCCTATTGCGTGGATTGCGTGCCTCGCGGGCACATGCGCCCCAGTGGTTCAACGCTCCGCCATCGAATTCCAGCTGGGGCGTGATTGGGCGAATTACGGGGGCCGACCTCGAATTTGGGCGCCGAATGCGAAGTCGGAGCGACATCTGTCATTCGCGCGTTGGGGCGCGTCGGCGCTGCGCCGACCGCGCTGCGCCGCGGGCAATTTTCGTCGCGCGGGCAAGTTTCCTTCCCGCATTTCGTCGCGCGGGCAATTTTGCAGTCCAGAAGGGAGAAGTGGCTGCGCGATGCAATGCGCCAGTTGGCCGACCTTGCAAGGGTCGCGCTCGTCCCGCTCGCGGTTGCTGACTGTGAGCTGCAGCTCGGCAGTCCGCCCGGCGTTCCAGGTTCTCTTTTTTTGTTTGACGAGCGAGGCCTCGCGCGCTGGCCGCTGCCAGACAAGCGCGCCGCGCGGCGGCCCGAGATCGCCGCGGCCCTTCAAGCGGGCGCGCTCGAGCGCGGACGCGCGTCCAAGTCGGCGGGTCGCATCTGTCGGGCCGCCCGGCGCACCTGCGAGTCCGCCTGCAATCGCGACGCGAAGCGCGGCCGAGCAATTTCACCGCCGGGCGAGAGCGGCAGGCGCCGAACGCCAGGTCTGCGCAGCGACTATCCGACGCGCTTGGCCACCCGGCCAGGGTTTCCGCGGTGCTCTTTGTTGACAGGCGCATGATTATCACCGATGTGGCTCTTCGAATCGAGGGGTCGGAGGTGCCGAGCATCGGTGGGTCCGGCCATTTTCGCATCGCTCCTGTTCGCCCGACGCGCCAGCATTCGTTTTGGATTGCGTAGGGGCCGGGGGCGGCGAAACAGTTCGACCGCGCTCGCCTGGATCATTCAACGTGGCGCATGAAGCTGCGCGCGAACTGTTGCCAAGGCGTTCACCGCGTGGCGTCGATCGCCAACGTCGACGACCACCCCTCGCACTAGTCGCGCTCCTTGCTGCGTCGCGCGGGGGGCGGAGTGGATTCTTCTAGTATAAAACGGCGCGCGGTTCGACCCGGGCGCGCGGCTGCGCGCCGCCAGCCGCGATTGGCTCGGGCGCCCGGCGCGAGTGCGCGCCCTCTCCTGTCAGCCAGGTCTCGCCGGCCATGTCTGGCAGGCGCTGGGTCGCCTCTCGCGCGCGTCGCGGTCGCGCCCGGCGCGGGGGGCGCGCGCGCGTCGCCGCGCATCCGGCGTGCTTGTCGCAATGAATCAGGGAGGGCGCGACCAATGCCTGCCGCGCGGCGCGGTCGTGTCTGGTCATTGGAACGCGCGCGACGCGCCCAGAGGCGTGCGCCATTTCGGTTTTCGGTGCTGCTGCGCTGCTCGGCTCGCCGACGACGGCGCCGACGCCGCGGGCGTTCTGGCCCGCGTCGCTCAGGCCGATTCCAGGGGCGCCGCGGCGTTGTCGAGCGACGCCCGCGAGGGGCGCCGCCCGGCGATCGCAGTGGCCCAGGGCGACGGCGCGCCCGCCCCCTCGCCCCCAGGCCCGCGTCGCGCGCCCCTCTTCGCCCGCGGGCTTTCCGCGTCGGCCGTCGCAGTGCTGGCGTCGCAAGGCAAGCGCCTCCGAGCGATATGGAGTCTCCATCGCCCACGGCGCGGGCGCGACGCAGCGGCGCGTCGCGCGGGCGCCGGGGCAGCGACAGGGCGGGGCGCGCGCGGCCCCCCCCCCCCCGCGGATGCGGCCGCAATCCGGTGCGCGCTTTTCCAATCGCCGAGCGCGAGTGCCGGCGGGGTGCGCGCGGCCCGCGGGCCCGAGTCGCGAGTCGCCTCTGGGGCTGCGGGGAGTGCGGGGGCGTGCAGGGCTCGGGCGCGCGCGTTCTGGCGCCCAGCAGCGGGCTTGAGCGTTGGGCAGCATTCTATTCGCGCGAAGCGTCTGTAAGCGACGCAGGAGAGAGTTGGCGCCCACCATCGAGGGGCTGATTCCATGGTCAATGACCTTCCAGTGCGCTGGCGCTTTCAGCAATTTCGTTGCATATTAGGCGGCGCGCCTCGTGGCGCACGATCTCGCCCTTCCTCGCATCTTCGCGCGTCGCGCGCGCATGCCCGCGGCGGCGCTCGGCGAGCACGGCTCATTGAGGTCACCTGGCGCCTGGCGGCTCGCGCCGCCGAGCGCCGTCGAGGAGCGCTCGGGTCGGCTGGCGAAGGCGCGCGTGGCTCTCCAAGGCAGCGACGCCGCCCGCCTCGCGTCGCTGTCGGCGACCCTCGTCACTGCAATTTAGTGACGAGGGCCATTTAGTTATTCGCCTTGCAGTGCTTGGCGGCTGAGGGCTTCCTGCCCGCGGCGCGGGTTGCAGATGGCCCGGGCGCGTCTTGCAATTATTCGGAGGTCGTCGCTGGCGATCAAAAGGTTGCGCTTCGCCCTATAAGGGGACAGGATCGCGAGAGCCGCTCGGTGTTGTCACGGCAGCGCTGGCGCGACGAGCGCGCGGTCACCTTCCGCGCGCGCGTTCTCGGGGCCTGGCCCAAGGCGAGCCAGCTCGCCGGCCCCTCTAGGCCGCGTGGCCCCTGGAGTGGACCGCGTGCGAACCCTGCCCCTACGCCCCGTGATTTCTGAGGGGGAGTGGGGTTCTTTTCGTCGGGAGCTCCCGTGCGAAGTGAACCCCGCCCTCGGCCGTCGGAAATCGCGCGGGGCAGGGGCGGGGTTCGCATGCGGCCCCCTACCCCGGGCGCAGCGCGCGCTCGGCCGCGCCGCGCTCCGAGCGAAATGGAGCGACGCAGCGCGGATCGATTCGGCGATCGTGCGTTCCGGCGCGGGAACGCGCGGGATGTCGCAGCCAGGGGAGGCGCGGTCACAGACCTTCTTCGCGCGGGCGGTCGGCATCAGCCCGCGTGGATGATGCGCTCCAACGTTCGCCCGCTCGAGCGTCAATCGGTCGACGAGGCGATGGCCAAGCAGCCCCGCGCCGTTTGTGGAATGCGCCTGCGCGGCGCGCGCGCGGGCGCGCCCCGGCGCGCGGGGGCAGCGGGGGGCAGCGCCGGGCGTGGCCGGCGGGGGCGCCGTTGCAGCGGGCGGCGTTCCCCGCCGCCCCGACAGGCGTCTGCGCGTTGAGCCTCGGAGAGACCGCGCGTTGCGGGGTGGGCGGGCGAGGCCCGCGCCCTCCGCATACGTCGGGGGCGGAAAAGAGGGGGTTGATGACTAAGGAGGGGTGGATATCATGACGGGGGCCATGATATCTCCCCAGATTTCTGGCGCCTCTTCTTGTTTCATTACGTACCAGGCCCCCCCGCTGGGCCGCGCACGTGCCGCCGGTCATGATTTGCACCCCCCCCTCTTGTACACCCACCTCTTGGCCGCTTCCGAATACGGGGGGGGCTTCCTCCCCCCCCATCAGGGCTGCGCGAGGCGAGCGCATGCGCCATGCTTTGCGGGGTGGGAATAACGATGTCATTGGCTTGGCGCAAGCCCGCCAGCGTTCGGAATGGCCCCGCGGCTGGCCGCAGGGGCGCCTTCGCTCGGCAGGTCGGCCGCGCTTGCCGACCCGCTTCCGTCTGTCGCTCGCGTCGTGAAGCGTGGCGCGGTGTCGAGAATTTTTCACCTGGTAATCTCTGGGGCGGGATGTAAATGCCGTGCCATATCCTGGGTTTCGACCCGCCGCCCGCTGGGGTTTCGTTCGGCCCGGTGGCTCCGTTGCGACCCATGGTGGCCCGTTGCGTTCGCAGGCCCAATGGGGCTTTCATTGGTCCATGCCGACCGCGCGCTGTCGTTTGCCCGCCCGGCCCGTCCTGGGAAGATTGGGGGGGGGCCCCCACGGGCCCGACTGGCGTCTGCCCGCTCGGCCTCGGAAAGGGCCGCGCATCGCGGCGCAGCGGCTGTCGTGGGCGGCCCCCCCCCCAGGCCAGGCCCGCGCGAGGCGACCGCGAGCGCCAGGATTTGCCCATTATCCGTTTTTCCGCCCCTTCCGCCCCCACGTGCCCATGCCTCCCCCCCCCCCCCTTCACCCCGTCGTCGTTGGCCCTCCACGGTTCCCCCCCCTCCCCTTTTCCCCGAAACCTCCGACCCCACGGCCTATCGGCCCCGCCGCAGAGAGGGATGCCAGGGCGAAGTGGAGTGCGCATCGGTTGTGTCAGGCACGCGCGCGGGGACGGTCGGTGGTCAGGACACGCCCCGAAACAAGAAACACCGAATAACAGCAACGGGAATAATGCTATAATTACGGCCCGACCGATGACGACAATAACACGAACAATAATAATGGTTGTGCTATTATTTGGGTTAATACACCGAGTTCGCAGTTCAGGAATACGGGTAACAGTTGGTATGAATGGGTACCAATGGTATTAGCAGTCGTCTTGCCAGTAATAGTATTGATAACATAGATGGCGATACGGCTACGACTATCAAACATAATCATCATCGTCGCAGTCAGCATAACCATCCGACTAGTAGTAGTAACGATACGACTGGTAGTAATACCAGTAATGCCAACATGCAGCTGGTTAAAGTAGTGGGATTGATAATAATACGAGTGCGAGCAACCACGTACAACCGCACTACTACTACGACGAACACGAATACGCAAACACTACCAATAATACGACTACGCAGATACTACGAATGGTAAGGATAAGACTAACCGTAATATTTTTGTTCATGCCACGAACACCATGAATACCAGTACGAAGAGTAGTATGTATGATAATGCGGATGACATGAAAAAAAACGAACCATATTATCACACATAAGAAGAATATAACACATAATCATATTTTCGAAAAGAAATCAAAAGAACATTCAGACGAAGAATAAGCATGGGCCCTCGGTCCATGGGAAATCCCATGGCCACCACCACGATACCCCCCTCCCTCCACCCCGCCCTTGTTGGTCCCCCCCGCCCCCCCCGAGGAGGAGGAGGGGCAACAGCAGCAGGCCGGCGCGCGTGTGCGGAGGCCGTGGTGGCGTACCACCAGGGCCTGCAGCTGAAGCCCAACTACGCCCGCAGTTGGTCGAACCTCGTCCCGGGCTCAGGGCAGGGGCCCTCTCCTCGGGGTCGGCAAAGAGGGGGGTGATGACTAGGGGGGGGGGATATCATGGCGGGGGCCATGATGTCCCCCCAGATATCATGGCGCCTCTTCTTGTTTCATTGCGTCCCTGGCCCCTCCGCTGGGCCGCGCACGTGCCGCCGGTCGTGATTTGCCCCCCCCCTCTTGGACACCCCCTTTTTCCTTGACCTTCCAGAGAGCTATTTTTTAGCACTGGAGGCCTGAAAACCTAAACAACGGAGCGAAACAGCGTAAAACCAAGACGTAGAATAGCCTTGGGATCTTTTTTTCCCCAACCCTCCTTGGTTGGGTATTCGTTTTGAATAGAGCAGTGTGGTCTCAACTTCCTCCTTTCCTCCCTCCTGCCTCCCGTCCCGCCTCCCTCTTGCCTCCTCCTGTCTTGCCTGCGGGGGGCTGCGATCTGTTAAACTGTCGCCACTTTCGAGGCCTGCTGGGGGGCCCAGCACAGTGACGCCACGGGCAGACTCAAATTAGACCTCGCCATCCCTGGGGGGCTGCGATCTGTGAAACTGTCGCCGCTTTCGAGGCCTGCTGGGGGGCCCAGCACAGTGACGCCACGGGCAGACTCAAATTAGACCTCGCCATCCCTCGGGGGCTGCGATCTGTGAAACTGTCGCCACTTTCGAAGCTTGCTGGGGGGCCCAGCACAGTGACACCACGGGCAGACTCAAATAAGACCTCGCCATCCCTGGGGGGCTGCGATCTGTGAAACTGTCGCCACTTTCGAGGCCTGCTGGGGGCCCAGCACAGTGACGCCACGCGCGGACCCAAATTAGACCTCGCCATCCCTGGGGGGCTGCGATCTGTGAAACTGTCGCCACTTTCGAGGCCTGCTGGGGGGCCCAGCACAGTGACGCCACGGGCAGACTCAAATTAGACCTCGCCATCCCTGGGGGGCTGCGATCTGTGAAACTGTCGCCACTTTCGAGGCCTGCTGGGGGGCCCAGCACAGTGACGCCACGGGCGGATTCAAATTAGACCTCGCCATCCCTGGGGGGCTGCGATCTGTGAAACTGTCGCCACTTTCGAGGCCTGCTGGGGGGCCCAGCACAGTGACGCCACGCGCGGATTCAAATTAGACCTCGCCATCCCTGGGGGGCTGCGATCTGTGAAACTGTCGCCACTTTCGAGGCCTGCTGGGGGGCCCAGCACAGTGACGCCACGCGCAGACTCAAATTAGACCTCGCCATCCCTGGGGGGCTGCGATCTGTGAAACTGTCGCCACTTTCGAGGCCTGCGGGGGGCCCAGCACAGTGACGCCACGGGCAGACCCAAATTAGACCTCGCCATCCCGGGGGGGCTGCGATCTGTGAAACTGTCGCCATTTTCGAGGCCTGCTGGGGGGCCCAGCACAGTGACGCCACGGGCATATTCAAATTAGACCTCGCCATCCCTGGGTGGCTGCGATCTGTGAAACTGTCGCCACTTTCGAGGCCTGCTGGGGGGCTCAGCACAGTGACGCCACGCGCGGACCCAAATTAGACCTCGCCATCCCTGGGGGGCTGCGATCTGTGAAACTGTCGCCACTTTCGAGGCCTGCTGGGGGGCCCAGCACAGTGACGCCACACGCAGATTCAAATTACACCTCGCCATCCCTGGGGGGGCTGCGATCTGCGAAGCTGTCGCCACTGTCGAGGCCTGCGGGTGGGTCCTGCGGAGCGGGGCACCGCGCGGACCTGAGCGGGACCTCGCCGTCCCTGGGGGGCTGCGATCTGCGAAGTTGTCGCCACTTTCGAGGGCTGCTGGTGGGTCCTGCGGAGTGAGGCACGGCGCGGACCTGAGCGGGACCTCGTCGTCCCTGGGGGGGTGCGATCTGCGAAACTGTCGCCACTTTCGAGGGCTGCTGGTGGGTCCTGCGGAGTCAGGCACCGCGCAGACCTGAGCGGGACCTCGCCGTCCCTGGGGGGTTGCGATCTGCGAAACTGTCGCCACTTTCGAGGTCTGCTGGTGGGTCCTGCGGAGTGGGGCACCGCGCAGATCCGATCGGAACCTTGCCGTCCTTGAGGGGTTGCGATCTGCGAAACTGTCGCCACTTTCGAGGGCTGCTGGTGGGTCCTGCGGAGTGAGGCACCGCGCGGATCTGAGCGGGACCTCGCCGTCCCTGGGGGGTTGTGATCTCCGAAACTGTCGCCACTTTCGAGGGTTGCTGGTGTGTCCTGCGGAGTGAGGCGCCGCGCGGGTCTGAGCGGGACCTCGCCGTCCCTGGGAGGCTGGGATCTGCGAAACGGTCGCCATTTTCGCTGGGGGCTGCTGGTGGGTCCTGCGGAGTGAGGCACCGCGCAGACTTGAGCGGGACCTCGCGGTCTTTGGGGGGTTGCGATCTGTGAAACTGTCGCCACCTTCGAGGGCTGCTGGTGGGTCCTGCAGAGTGGGGCACCGCGCAGATCCGAGCGGAACCTTGCCGTCCTTGAGGGGCTGCGATCTGTGAAATTGTCGCTATTTTCGAGGGCTGCTGGTGGGTCCAGCGGAGCGAGGCACCAGGCATATCTGAGGGGGACCTCGCCGTCCATGGGGGGCTGCGATCTGCGAAATTGTCGCCACTTTCGAGGGCTGCTGGTGGGTCCTGCGGAGTGAGGCACCGCGCGGATCTGAGCGGGACCTCGCCGTCCATGGGGGGCTGCGATCTGCGAAGTTGTCGCCACTTTCGAGGGCTGCTGGTGGGTCCTGCGGAGTGAGGCACCGCGCGGACCTGAGCGGATCCTCGCCGTCCCTGGGGGGCTGCGATTTGCGAAACTGTCGCCACTTTCGAGGGCTGCTGGTGGGTCCTGCGGAGTGAGGCACCGCGCGGATCTGAGGGGGACCTCGCCGTCCCTGGTGGGCTGCGATCTGCGAAGTTGTCGCCGCTTTCGAGCGCTGCTGGTGGGTCCTGCGGAGTGAGGCACCGCGCGGGCCTGAGCGGGACCTCGCCGTCCCTGGGGGGTTGCGATCTGCGAAACTGTCGCCACTTTCGAGGGCTGCTGGTGGGTCCAGCGGAGCGAGGCACCAGGCAGATCTGAGCGGGACATTGCAATCTTTGGGGGGCTGCGAGCCTCACGAGTGCCGCTCGCAGAAGTATATGCGCCCATGTCACGTCACCACCTCCGTATAGCGTCTCCCAAGCTTCTCCTGCCCCGCATTGCCCAGGGGTTGGGTACGTCGCCAGGGTAATTTTGGTCGCGTGCTTTTTTTTGCCCCTCTTGGAAGGTCAGGGTTGGCCCGGAAACCTAAAACACCTAGCGAAACAGCCTGAAACCAAGACGTAGAATAGCCTTGGGATAGGTTTTTGTTGGTCGCGTGCTATTTTTAGCCCTCTTGGAAGGTCAGGGTTGGCCGCTCCCGATCTCCGCGTCGTCTCTCTGCGCGCTCGCCTCGCGCGGGGGCCGCGCGGCGCCACCGCCCCTCACGGGCGAGTGCCGGCCGCCCGCGGAGGCCCCCGGTGCTCCCGCGGGCGGCGGTGTGCCGCGCCGGTGGCCTGCAGAGTCGGGGTTGGACAGACCTCCTGCCCTGACACGTCGATTAGTTACCTTCTGAGGGAGCGCGAGTCATCGGCGAAAAGTGTATCCGTATCCACGGCCTCGCGGGCCAGGCCCCTGGGCCGCGACCCCGCGGATACGGGTCGCTTTTGTTCGGGATGCCCCGCGCGGAACGTTCGGGGGTGGACAGAACCCCCAACAGTGACACGTCGATCAGTGAATTGTCCGTTTTCGGTTCTCGAGAGGGCGCCGCGGCCGTTATGTTCCAGGTTTGCGCCCGCCAGGTTCGGGCCCGAGGTCGCTTTCACTAAACCACGTTTTACTAAAGGGAGGTCTGTCCATCCCCGACACAGGATCGGTGGCGAGCCTGACCTTCCAAGAGGGCTAACAAATAGCACGCGACTGAAAAACCGATCCCAAGGCTATTCTACGTCTTGGTTTTCGGCTGTCTCGCTGCGTTTTTTTTATGTGTTTAGGCCTCCAGTGCTAGAAAATAGCTCTCTGGAAGGTCAGGGGATTGAGGGGGGGCAGAATTAGGTCGTGGCCAAACATCGTCAAAACATAGTCCAAACATCGTCTGACCTCTTTGGCGCATGTTTTTGTTGGGGGGGGGGTTTGTTTTTTTCAATTTTTCGTCGAACATCCTCCTGTGGGGGGACACGCCCGACAGAAGGACAGAAGGAACACGTTCTCAAACGGCTGCGGGGTTTCTCAGAAGCCCTCGTCAGAAGGCCGGGGGATTTCGAGCATTTTGAAGAGGCCCGACCCCCTCTCACTTCCCCACCGGGCTGGCAGCCGACAGGAGGTTCTCAGAGGAGGGAAAGATAATGACACCGCTGCCCTCGCCTCGTTCTCGCCTGTCTAAGTTAATTTCCTGGGAGGCCCTCGACGCCGCGGCTGGGTTCGCCTCGAGATTCTGGTCAGAGCGCACCCCGGAGGAGGTCCGGGGAGGGTAGCGGTTGGCATCTCTTCGTTCCCCCATCCTTGGGCGTCTCCTTGCCAGGGTGATGCTTCAATTTCAAAGGTTCGGACGGGGCTGCGACGAGAGGATCTCCGTTCCAGAGCGTTTGGGAACGCTTTCAGAGCGTTCCGCGACGCTCTGAGAAGGCCGGGACGCCCGATACGTCCTCCAGAGCCGCCGGATCTCAGAGACTCTCGACTCATCCTCACCCCATTTGTCACCACCCACCAAACCACCCGAACCCAACCCGAAGGCCTCAAATTGACCTCCACTTCCAGTGGGGGGGGTCGGGGAACATCGAGAAAGCACATATGGAACCCGTACCCCCCCCCCAACCCGAAATTCGGGTCTTCGGGTTGGGTTGGGGTGGTCTGGTAGGTAGTCAATTTGATCTTCGTCCTGGCCTGGTCAGCGGGAGGGGTGAGCGCCCGCCTGGTCCGTTTGAATATGCCGCACCAGGTCCTGAGCCACGGAGAGCCCAGGAAGTCTCCGGGCGCTGCAGGAGGCACGTGGTGGCCTGTATACATGGGCCGCGGGAGGCCCACGAGGGCAGGGCGAGCCACGCGCCCGGAATCTCAATCTCGATGCCCCTGTGCGGGCAATTTTTATATCCATATCCAGAAAGTCGTGGACTTGTTGGGAAGGGGTGCCGCAAGGCCGAGCCACACTGGATATGTATAAAAATCGAGCCTCTAGGGGGCAAATGTATCCATATCCAGTGCGCCTCGGGTTTCTTGGGAAGGGAGCCCGAAACTCCATACTGCAGTGGATATAGACAGGAGTATTGCCCGCACCTTGCACCCTCAAGTCCTCGAGCAGTGGGGAGGAGGCCCGCTTCAGAGGTTCATCCTCTTCCTTATGATGCTCCAACCTACTGTCGCCTTGACCAGCAGGAAGAAGTTCGAGCGCCCCGAAAGGTACCGAAACTCAAGGGTTTTCACGTGCTGGGCCCTGGGAGACACTCGCCCGATACTGTTTCGACACTGTTTCGATACTCTTTTGACACTTTTCTGGGTGATCGAAATTATTTCTGGGATGCGGTGCTTAAGTAGGACGGGAACAACATAATCCTCGCCCCAGTTAATCCTCGTCATGCCCTCGTCTTACGGGGGGGCCTCTCGTGGCCGTGGCTTGGGCTCTCAGCGAACAAGGCGGTCACGGCCGGCGGGCTTCTTGGGAGGAGGCGCGGGGTTCCCCCCCTCCTCGTCCCCTCCTCTTCTTCGCTGGGAGGTCGTGGGAGCTTTGCAAACCCTCGTGGTTCCGTCTTTCGGGCGCACCCGCGCCGATTTGTGTATGGGACTCGATGAGTTGGCGCCGATGTGGCGTCGATGTGCGTCGATGTAGCGTCGCCAGCGCCCATGGATCAGGAGGGGGAAAAAACACACAGACACAATGAATCGTCGATCCCCCGGAAAATATGGGAGAATATGGGAAGTGGGGGGGGAGACGAAAATATGGGGGATAGTTTTATTGGAGAGGCCTGACGGCCTGTGCCGCCGACCCTGATCGAAAGGGCTGGGAGTAGGGGGAGGAAGCGGAGGAGGAGGAGGAGGAGGAGGAGGAGAAGGAGGAGGTGCAGGAGGAGGAGGAGGAGAAGGAGGAGGAGGAGGAGGAGGAGCAGGAGGAGGAGGAGGAAGAGGAAGAGGAGGAGATTTATTCTCTTGCACAGCTGTGCTCTAGAGCTCGGACATCTTTATTTTCGTCGTTCGTCGTGTCGTTCGTCCCCCTCGCCCCCCCCCTGTCCACGCTTCCCAGGGTAGCCCCCCTGGGCCACGGAACCCTTTCTTCTCTTGCACAGCTGTGCTCTAGAGCTCGGACATCTTTATTTTCGTGTCCTGGTCGTCCCCCTGGCCCTGGTCGCCCCCTGGCCCTGGCCCTCGCCCCCCCCCTGCCCCGCGTCCAGGCATCCCAGGGCAGCCCGTCCAGGCTTCCCAGAGCAGCCCCCCTGGGCCACGGAACCCTTTATTTTCGTGTCGTTCGTCGTTCGTGTCGTTCGTCCCCCTGGCCCTGGTCGCCCCCTGGCCCTGGCCCTCACCCCCCCCTGCCCCCCGTCCAGGCATCCCAGGGCAGTCCGTCCAGGCTTCCCAGGGCAGCCCCCCTGGGCCACGGAACCCTTTATTTTCGTGTCGTTCGTCGTTCGTGTCGTTCGCCCCCCTGGCCCTGGTCGTCCCCCTGGCCCTGGCCCTCACCCCCCCCTGCCTCCCATCCAGTCCAGCCTTCCCAGAGCAGCCCGTCCAGGCTTCCCAGGGCAGCCCCCCTGGGCAACGGAACCTTTTATTTTCGTGTCGTTCGTCGTTCGTGTCGTTCGTCCCCCAGGGCAGCCCGTCCAGGCTTCCCAGGGCAGCCCCCCTGGGCCACGGAACCCTTTATTTTCGTGTCGTTCGTCGTTCGTGTCGTTCGTCCCCCTGGCCCTGGTCGCCCCCTGGCCCTGGCCCTCACCCCCCCCTGCCCCGCGTCCAGGCATCCCAGGGCAGCCCGTCCAGGCTTCCCAGGGCAGCCCCCCTGGGCCACGGAACCCTTTATTTTCGTGTCGTTCGTCGTTCGTGTCGTTCGTCCCCCTGGCCCTGGTCGCCCCCTGGCCCTGGCCCTCACCCCCCCCTGCCCCCCGTCCAGGCATCCCAGGGCAGTCCGTCCAGGCTTCCCAGGGCAGCCCCCCTGGGCCACGGAACCCTTTATTTTCGTGTCGTTCGTCGTTCGTGTCGTTCGCCCCCCTGGCCCTGGTCGTCCCCCTGGCCCTGGCCCTCACCCCCCCCTGCCTCCCATCCAGTCCAGCCTTCCCAGAGCAGCCCGTCCAGGCTTCCCAGGGCAGCCCCCCTGGGCAACGGAACCTTTTATTTTCGTGTCGTTCGTCGTTCGTGTCGTTCGTCCCCCAGGGCAGCCCGTCCAGGCTTCCCAGGGCAGCCCCCCTGGGCCACGGAACCCTTTATTTTCGTGTCGTTCGTCGTTCGTGTCGTTCGTCCCCCTGGCCCTGGTCGTCTGGCCCCCTGGCATTCCAGGGCAGCCCCCCTGTCCCCTAACCACAGCTAGCCCGTCCAGGCTTCCCAGGGCAGCCCCCCTAGGCCACGGAACCCTTTATTCTCTTGCACAGCTGTGCTCTAGAGCTCGGACATCTTTATTTTCGTGTCGTGTCGTGTCGTGTCGTTCGTCCCCCTGCCCCCCCCCTGCCCCCCCCCGTCCAGGCTCCCCAGGGCAGCCCCCCTGGGCCTCGGACACCTTTATTTTCGTGTCGTGTCGTGTCGTTCGTCCCCCTGCCCCCCCCCCGCCCAGGCTTCCCAGGGCAGCCCCCCTGAGCCTCGGACATCTTTATTTTCGTGTCGTGTCGTGTCGTTCGTCCCCCTGCCCCCCCCCCCCCCCCCCAGACCCAGCTCCCCCGTCCAGGCTTCCCAGGGCAGCCCCCCTGGGCCCCGGACATCTTTATTTTCGTGTCGTGTCGTTCGTCCCCCTGCCCCCCCCCTGCCTTCCCCCCAGACCCAGCTCTTCTGGGCCACCCCCCCGTGGGAGCCCTGAGACCCAGCTCCCCTGGCCCCCCCCCCCTCGGGAGCCCTTTGGGAGCCCGGCTCCGTCCAGGCTTCCCAGGGCAGCCCCCCTGGGCCACGGAACCCTCCCCTCCGTGCTCCCCTGGGCCACCCCCCCGTGGGAGCCCTTGGGAGCCCTCCTCCGTCCAGGGTTCCCAGGGCAGCCCCCCTGGGCCACGGAACCCTTTATTTTCGTCGTCGTCCTTCGTTCCTGGGACACCCCCCGTGGAAACTCTTGGGAGCACCCCTCCGTCCAGGCTTCTCAGGGCAGCCCCCCTGGGCCACGGAACCCTGTATTTTCGTCGTGGTCGTTCGTGGTTCGTAGAAACCAGGCCAGGCCCAGAAATCGTCGTCGTCGTCCTCCTCCTCCTCCGCTTTCTTCCTGGCTCCTCGTAAACCCCTCCTGGAAGAAGGAGGCGGGGGCCTCCTGTCCTTCGCAACTCCTTTGTGCAAGAGCCAGGGCACGCGTGCCACTTGTTTGTGTGTCCTGGGGCCCCTCCCGTGGACAGGATCCAACAACACGGCACGGGGTGCTCCCGCGAGCTGCCGCAGAGGTCCTCCCCCTCCCGCAGGCGGTCGGCCGGCCGGCGCGGATCTGCCTGCCGCCGTCGGCCCTCCGCGCGGGCGGGCGACCGAGCGCACGGCTCGCAGCGGGGAGTGTGCGGGCACTCTCGGGTGGCGATCGGGGCGAGAGCGCCGATGCCCATGGACAGGATCCAGCAACATGGCACGGGATGCTCCCATGAGCTGCCGCAGAAGTCCTCCCCGCCTGCAGGCGGTCGGCCCTCCGCCGCGGATTCTGGCCTGCCGCCGTCGGCCCCTCCCGCGAGCGGGCGACCGAGCGCACGGCTCGCCACGGGGAGTGTGCGGGCACTCTCGGGTGGTGATCGGGGCGGAAGCGCCGACGCAGCGTCGATGCAGCGCAGCTTTAGCGTCGATTGGCATGGGAGGCTACCCTCAGTTGCCACCGACTGGGGAGTGCGACTGGGGAGTGCGCCTGGGGAGTGCGCCTGGGGAGTGCGCCACCGACTGGGGTGTGCGGGCACTCTTGGGTGGTGGGCCCTGGAAGCGACAGGGCCGTTTTTGTTACCGGTTCCGTTTCGCCGTTTTTTCTGTTGCCGGTTCCAGCGCCGATTTTTTTTTCCCGGTGCCGTTGTTGGACCGGTTCCGGCTCTCCGGTTCCAATCCTGGAGCCGTTTCTGTTGCCGTTTCCGGTCGCCGTTTTTTTGCCGTTTCCATGTGAAAAAACGGCCCTGCCGTTTCCGGGGCCCACAAAGTAGCGCCGTTTTAGCGTCGATTGGCATGGGAGGCTCCCCTCAGTTGCCACCGACTGGGGAGTGCGCCTGGCGGTTCTTGCCCTCCCGTTGTCCCGTCGTGCCCCTCCCCGTGGTTGTCGCGTGCCGCTTGCGGGCCTTCCATAGGGTTCCCCGGAGTGGTAGCAGCCTGCCGTCCAGGTGACTGCCAAGTCGGAGGTTGCGACGCACATTGTTGACGACGTGTGCCTCCATGAATCTCGGTCCCTTCGTGAAGATGTTTTATCTCGGGCCGTTTCTTCGACGGCCCCAGGTCGGGAAGCGGTTTCCAGAGGCCCCCACGGGGTCGGTTGCGATTGCTGCACGACGTGAGGAGGCTGCGGAGATGGAGAGAGAAGGAGAAGCCAGGCGCCTTCACGGCGCATAGGCAGAACAGATGCCGTGTAGGTGTGTCTTGGCATGGTAGTGAAAGAAACGATCCGTTGCAATTGTCTGCCAGATGCGCTGCTGTGAGACAGCGGGGAGGGAGGTCGGAGCAGGAGGAGGAGGAGGAGGGCAAATTCGGATACGTGGCGTTCCCAGGCCATCGCGCATGCCCAGCTCGGCGAGCACAACGACGCGGCCCGGTTCTACCTGTCCTCGCTGGTGCTCAACCCGCAGGCCAGAGCCTTCTGCCAGCGCTGCTCGGGGCCCTCGCATGGGATGTTTTTTGTTTGGGTGTTCTGGCCATCTTCAGATTCCTGGGACCACTGGCTGACGGGACGAGAGTTCCAGGGACCCCCGCCCATCCCAGGAGGAGGAGGAGGCAGGCAGGAAGCGAAGGGCAAGAGACGAGGAGGGGGGAGGCAGAGCAGGAAGGAGGCAGGAGGAGGCGGAGCAGGGACGGGAGGGGGCGAGAGAGAGAGCGCGCAGAGAGCGCCAGGCGACGCACATCTGGAATTTCTTGCACTCCGCCGTGCTCAACATGAACAGCACGCTCCCCCTCGAGGAGGCCGCGCCGCGCCCCCGCCAGCGGCGGCGGCCGCGCCGCTCCCGCGCTGATGCCGGACGTGGGCGGAGGTTCGGCTCGATTGTCCTCTGAGGCGCGAGCCACGCTCGAAGCTGCCGCGTGGGGTCCACCACCTCGCGGGGAAGCAGCAGCCAAGGCGGGCCTCTTGGGGGCCGTTTTGGGGGCCTGAGGCTTCCTGGAGGCTCCTCGAGGCTCCACGAGGCCTCTTGGGGCCGTTGGAGGCTCCACGAGGCCTCTAAGAGGCCTCGTGGAGCCTCCAGGGCCTCCCGGGCTCTCCCAGGGGCCTCCCGGGGCGGGGGCCTCCCGGGGGCCTCTTGGGGCCGAAGGCTCGAACTGGTGGTCCGTGTTTCCCCTCGTTGGCCCCTCTTGAGGCCGTCCTGCGCTCTCTTGGGCGGTCTTGGGCGCCTCTGGGGCCGTTTTGGGGGCCCTCTTGGACCGTTTCGGGGCCCTCGTGGGGGCCTCTCAGGCGGTCTTGGGGGCATTTGGCGTCATTTTGGAGCGTCGGAAGCCTGAACACGCGAGAAAGCGACAACTACAGAAGAGCACAAGGAAAATCAATGGTTGTTGCTTTTTGGGCCCTCTTCGGGGTCCTCTTGGAGCGCTCTTGGGGCTTCTTTGCTTTGGGGCCTCTTGGGACCGTGATTTTGATTTTGGGCACCATGGAGCGTTCTTGGGCCGTAACTTTGATTTGTGTGTTTTTTTAGCTGCCTTGATGTTCCTTGGGCCGCTCCTGGAGCGATCTGGAGGGTCCCCAAAACCGCCCCCTGGAGTTCCGGCATCCTTTAGCGGGACTTGTTTAAACCTTAGTGGGATTCGGCCAGGGTAAGTTTCGTCAGGAGACCCTCGGGGGCCACCCCGCGCGCGCGAACTAGAATACACAATCTGTTTTGTGGATTATGTACCGGAGATCTTAGCACGCCTTTGGCCCGTTGGGCCAGCGTTGGGCCAGCGAACTTATGTTTACGCTGTTTTGTCTTCGACTGATGGCTCGCCGATGCAGGGTACTGCCGGTGGGCCCAGCTAAGGCTATGTTGGTTGGGTGCTGCACGTCGGCATGGAACGCGAACGCATACGTGATGCAGGTAATTGAGGGGGAGGAGGAGGAGGAGGAGGAGGAGGAGGAGGAGGAACACCTGATGAAACTAATGGGCAAGCGGGCCAGCAGCAGCAGTCAGAAGGGAGGACCGAACGAGCGCTCCCTTGCCTGTGCCTGCGGGGTGTGTCCTGGCCTCGGTCTCGCCCCTCGACCCCCACTGGCAATGCAAAACGCAGACACAGCAGCACGCACACACACCTCGTCCGGGAGAAGTGGGTCGAAGCATGGAGCAGCAAGGCGTTCTCAAAGTGGATGTGGTTTCCGCCCGCCCCCCGAAAGGGGCAGAGGAATGGAGAAGACGAAGAAGAATAGCAAGAAGTCAGAAGTTGGGAAGCACCTGAAGTAGATTGGACCCCGGGAAATCCAGGAACAAAAACACATCAGCGAAGGGTGTGTCACATGTCCTCTATCAGCTCCTTGGGTCCTCAACTCATTGCTCCTTGCAAACTTGTTTGATGGCCGCGAACCGAACCCAGAGCCGTGTCTGGAACCGAGCCGGCCGAACCGAATTGGCCCGCGATGCGAAGCAAATTGGCCGAACCCAACGGCGGCTCGCATCGAACCGAACCGAATCGCGGCTTTCATGTGCTTGCCCCTGGGCGCTGCCCACAGAACAGCGGCGCCACCAGGGCCTACACCACAAAGGCGCCGCCCGCTTGATTCGAAGGCCACCCCGCGTGGTGGCCGGGCCTCGAGACGTGGCGAGTGCAACCGCGATCTTCGCGGTCCGTCGGCGTGACGAGGCAATCCGACGCCTCGACCAGAGGGGTCCGGGTGGCCGAGTCGAACCGCACGACGAGCCCACCTTCCGCACCCCAGGGCCTCCGACGTGTCCTTGCTGTGCCATGCATGTAATTACCTTCACCGCGCGGGCCCAGCAGCTCTCATCAGCCCCACACGTGGGCACGGGCGGCTCGGCGCGGGGCTGTCTGCTTGCCAGTGCCCGGCTCAGGTGACGGCGCATTGGGTGCCGAAATCGGCCAATGCAGCGCCAGTCGTGAGCTTGTTCGTGGGGGCACGCGGCGACATTTGTGTGTGCCATTGGCATTTGAGTTTGGGGCCCTATTTAGACGGCCACACATGGCGTGAAGGGTACAGGACTGGTGGAACAGAGCGGGCAAGCAGGACGAACGAAGAGATCTCTGGGTTGACAGGGGTGGCCTTTGAGGACCTATTCGGGCCATCCCTGGGGCCCGCTGGGGGGCGAGGGGAGGAGGAGGAGGAGGAGGGAGGAGGAGGAGAAGGAGGAGGAGGAGGCACACCCCCTCTTGGGGCCCTCGTGGGACGCTCGTTGGACGCTCTTGGGCGCTATTGGAGCCCTCTTGAGGCCCTCTTGAGGCCCTCTTGAGAGCCCTGGAGGGCCCTTGAAGCTATCTTGGAGGCTATCGATCAAAGCAGGGGTTGTCCTCGATTTAGGTTCCCTCATTGGGGCTATCAACAAAAATGACTCCAGGGGCGCTCTTGGGTCGATCTTGGGCGCTCTTGGGGCTGTTTAAAGGGCCACTTGCGTCCCTCTTGGGACTGTCTTGGGCCATCTTGGGACAATCTGGAGGCCTCAAAGCACATCGGAAGCGAAACCAGTGATTTCCCTTAGGTGTTGGAATGCTGCTGGCCTCTTGGGGGGGGTCTTGAGGAGGCCCCGAGAGCACTTGGGACCGTCCTGGAACGGCATTTGGGGACTCTTGGAGCATGTTGGGAGCCATCTTGAGCCACCTTCGGCTGTCTAGAGCCATCTTGGAGGCCATCTTGGAGCATCGGAGGCCCTGATGGAGCCAGATTTGGCCATTTGGGCGCTCTAATTCCTTCGTCCCCCCCCCCGTCCAGACCCCTGGGAGGCCGGGAGATGTGGGGGAGAGTACCCCTTCCCCGACGGCAACATGGCTTCGGAAGAAATGAGGGCTCGTCAGACCACCTGCGCCGAGAGTGTTGGTGGACTCTTGACGCGTCGCGTCTCCTCAACCGCCCATCGTTAGTTGCCCTGATCAGGAAAATGTCTCGAGCCCTCTTGGAGGCCCTTGGGGTCTCTCTGGGCCACCATGGAGGCCATCGGTCAACGGGAGAGTATTGCATTCCCCCCCCACAAACTATCCCACCCTCTCGGATGCCCAAACATCGCCTCCTGGCAGTCTCTTGGGACGCTCTCGGGGCGCTTCTGGACGCTCTTGGAGCCGTCTTGGGGCCCTCTTGGGCACCTCTGGAGACGATATTGGGCCGTCTTGGAGCCATCTTGTGGCCTAGAAAGCCGATCGGAAAAGAATAGGCGAGAAGGCAACCACACATTGCCTTTCCAAACGTGTTCAACCTTTGCCCTGTCTGGGGTGCCCTTGGGAGGCTCGGAGGCCACTCGGAGCCGCCTTGAGGCGGTAATGTGGCCTCTTTGAGACATGTCGGAAGCTATCTTGAAGCATCTTGGGCTATGTTGAGCGACCTCGCGGGCCATGTTGGGCTATCAGGGTTGCTCTTGGCGCCATTTTGTCCCATCTTGGACGCTCCTACCCCTCGCGCCCCCCGCCTCTCATCCAGACCCCAGAGAGGGGGGGCGGGCGGGGCAGGGGGAATCCCCGGATGTTGGTCCCCGCATCAGGGCCTCCCACATGGGGTCCGAGCGGGCGGGGTGGGAGGGTCGCGCCGCACCGCTCGCTAGATCACCCACGCCCGCAAGGGCTGGTGATCTTGGTGCTCGCATCAGATGGGGTCCGAGCGGACGGGTATCGGAGGGTCGCGCCGCATCGCCAATGCATTTGCGATGCGGGCGAGATGCGGAGGTCGGTTCTCTCCACGGCCACGTCGCCGATGCACCAGCGACGCACCGGCAACGTGGCGCGGATCCCCGACCCCGCTGGCTCGGACCCCGTTCGGAAGCCCTCTGTCGAACCCGACGAACGCCTCGGCCCATCCTCCCGGGGGGCTCACCAATTTCTGCTGTCCCGCGGCTCGCGCTGGAGCGTCCTCGGTCTGCTCCAGGTTCTCCTGGAGATCTCTGGGTGTCCCATGATGTATATGGACATTCGTCGATGTATATGGATTCACCTCGATTCGCACCTTTTGAAGCGAGCACGTTCTGAGAGACGGGCTCTCCCCTGCCGCTACCGCGGGCTTGCGTGGCGGAGGCGTCTGGAGGACGCTATTGCGGAACAGGCGTGCACGTCTTGGCAAAGATGCCATGAACTACTTCTGTGTTATCGCGCACCAGTATGTTGCAAAAGGTGTCGCCTAAAAATGCCCTGGATGCGGAATATTGAAAGTGGTGGTCTTTACGTTGGCGACGCTGCCTATGGTTCAACCAGCAAGTATTCTCAGTGCGCTGTCGAGATTTGGCCCAGGACCTGAATAGTACTCGTTCGTCGGCGGAATACCTGCTCTTCGCATTTCTTGATGTGGTGGTGGCGTCGTACACAGAACCCACACTTTTCGCAGGGCCCATGTCCATGCGATCGATCGGATTCGATGTAGACCGTCCAGCTCGATCCGATTCGTTTTCGGTATTTCGTCGATGCGATGCAGCCCGATATTCGCATGGCATTGATGTGCATCCTGGCGCGGTCGAGCCGATTCGATCTTGATTCCGTGCCGCTGCGGCCAGAGCCGACGCACACTGCGATTCGATCCGATCTCGCCCTCGCCAACGCTGGCCGCAGGCGAACGCGGCCGAGGGCGATAAGAAGGCGGCGCTCGAGGCGCCCTCATCCTAATTTCCCCGCTTCCTGCTAATTACCCCTCCTCCTCCTCCTGCTTCTCCTTCATCTCCCCCCTCCCCCTGGTTACCCCTCCTCCTAATCCTCCTCCTCCTCCTGGTTATCCCCCCTCCCTTGGTCCTCTGCAATGGGGGATGGGCCGACCCGCCGCGCCCCGCGACCGCCACCGGCAGCTGTAGTGGCACCCGCGCGGCACGGCAGGGGAGCGGAGGAATGGGGAAGGAGTTGGAGGGGGAGTTCATAAGGAGGAGGAGGAGGAGGAGGAGGAGGAGGAGGAGAAGGAGGAGGAGGAGGAGGAGGGGGAGGGGGAGGAGGAAGAGGAAGAGGAGGAGTAGACAGAGCGATTGATGCAGGAGAAAGGAGGAGGAGGCGGCGACGAGGCAGGAGGAAGAGGAGGCAGGAGGAGGTGGAGGAGGAGAAGGGCAGCATCGACCCTCGACCCTGTTGTCTTCAGCGTGGGCGTGATGATGATGCTGATGCTGATGCTGATGATGATGATGCTGATGCTGATGCTGATGCTGATGATGATGATGATGATGATGATGATGATGATGATGATGATGATGCTGATGTTGACGATGATGATGCTGATGCCGATGCTGATGCTGATGCTGATGCTGATGATGATGATGATGATGATGATGATGATGATGATGATGATCAGGAGGAGGAGGAGCAGGAGGAGGAGGAGAAAGTAGTATGAGGAGGAGAGAGGGGTGAGGGGGATTTCACTTTGGGTCTCACAGACAGTTCCCGGGCCCACCTCCGGGGAGCCGAGGGGTGGGGTCAGGTGGGGGGTGACCTGAAGGGTGGGGGTGAAGAGAAGGGCCCCAACGGGCTTCTTTGTGGCCCCTGCTGGCTCCCGAAGGGAACCTAAAGGGCCCCTTACAGGCCCTTTGCTTCATCCCCCAGTGAGGCCACCTCTCATTACCACCCGCTCAATGGGAGGGGGGGGCGGGGAGGGCGGGTCGGCCACGCGCTGAGGGGGTTAGCGGGAGGGCGGAACGCTCATTCGAAGCACCTTTGCTTCTTCAAAGGCGCGGCCTTCTCTATGGATGCAAGGTCGGCGCCTTCTAACAAGCAGCCTCCTAAGAAGCCTTCCCCCTCCCTCTACCCCCTTGTGCGCGCCACCAAGGGCGGTGAAAGCTCCACCTGGGTGAGCGAGCTCCGCCCTCGGGCCTTCGGTGCACCGCCCCTTGTGGGGCCAATCGTCGTGCCCCCGTGGGGCCACGAGGGGAAGCGACAGGGGAGGGCACCCCAAGAAGAGCAGGAGAAGGGGGGTCCTCCTCCGCCTCCTCCTCCTTTTCCTCCCCTTCCTCCCCCTCCTTCCTCCTCCTCCCCCCCCCCCCAACACCTCCTCCTCCTCCGCCTCCTCTCCCTCCTCCCTCCTCCTCCTCCTCCTCCTGCTCGTCCTCCTCTTCCTCCCACAGTCGGACCAAGTTATTAGATCGGGGTCGTCACGGGGAGGGTAGCCTAAAGTTCTTCGTGTCTGTTGGATGTTCTTGTGCATCCTGGAGAGGGCACCCTTGCAGGATCGAGGTCGGTTCGGGGAGGGTGCCCTGGTGAGTAGTCTTGTTGATTGGATGTTGCTGAGCTTCCGTGGGAGGGTGCCTTTGGATGTTCTGTGCGTTTTGGCCGATGGAGGGTCTCTTGTTCTTAAGGGAGGTTCTTCTGGCCTAGGTACGACTGTACTCCAAGACGGACGGGAGCATGGGGGTACGCGTGGAAGTGCAAACTGGACTAGCGACGCGTGGACTCGAGACGGGCTTCATTTCCGTGTTGGCTCGGCGCGCATCTTCGCCAAGGCGGGCGCCAAGGGGGTGTATTTTCGCCGATCCGTAGATCTGGCGCCCACGCGCCAGATCCACGGGATCTGGCGCCCACGCTCCAGATCCACGGACCCATATCCGCCACAAAAATACAGCGACGCCCCTTGTTGGGTCCTTCCTGGGCCTCTGGGGAGGGTGGCGGTGTATAGATTACCACTGCGAGCCAGCGACCTGCATACAGACCATCCCTGAAGGCGCAAGCATAACACGTCGGCTGGTTTCTGGGTATATCGGAGGCGAGGGTGTGAGATGGCAGTGGAACGGAGAGCCCCCCACTATGAAATCGGTTTCGCTTCCGTGTTCGTGTCGTGCGTGCGGGCGGGCGAGGCGAAGCTGCGTGGGCGCGCGAGAGGACTGATGCCGCCGTGGCTAGGGGTTGTGGAGCCGGTGGTCCGCCCCCCTCCCCTTGGCGCGCGGTGGCCAGGGGTGTCGTGTCGGTGGCGCGTCGATGTCCCCTCGGTAGCCCGTCGGTGGGCGCGGCGTTGTCCCATCGGTGGCGAGGGGTGTCCCGTCGGTGGCGCGGGGAGTCCCGTGAGTGGTGCGGCGGTGCGATCGATTGTGCGATCGACAGTGAGATCTGACGTGAGATCGATAGTGAGATCGAATGTGAGATTGATAATTGGATCTGTTCTGAAACCGAGAGTTTGATCGATGTGAGATCGATTGAATGTAACGTTGATTCGCTCCCTCCCAAACCTCCATATGACTCGAAGGGTGGTCGTATAGGTGCCTTGTGGCGTACCATACCCGTCGGTCGTTAAACATAGGCATTTGTAAATTACCAGATCGCAAACCACTTCAGGTCCCTCGCTACTTCAATCCTCGAGTGCTCTCTCCTTTCCCCTCCTCTTCAAGGGGGCGGGCGAAAGCCAACTGTACTTCCAATTGCCTCCTACCTCATGCTGCTACCCACCACTTCCGACCGCCGGGTCATCCGTGTTGGCGTATGCCCGAGGTACGGTCAGTTCGCGCCGGGTCGACCAGCGGCGGCCCCGCCGGCGGCGATCAGCCCCGAACGCCGTCGGTGACCCAGACTTGGTCGGTGTGGATCGATCGGACGCCTCGGAAACAGCCCGTCGTCCCAGGTGGAACGAGCCCCGCGACCTCCGAAGGCGGTGCCCGGCCCGGGTCCTCACGGCACGGACCTGCCGTTGTCCGGGGGGCGGCTTCCTCGGCCACGGAAGGCACGGCCGCGCGCGGCGCCGGTGGCGCCCGCCCGCCCGGCGCGTCGCCGAGGCGGGGGGGAGGCAGTCAAGCAGTGGCGAAGCGTCTGGGCTCGCCTATAGCCCTACCAGACAATGTTCTAAGAACATTTGTTTGGCGGTTTCCACGAAACGTTCTTAGAACTTTGCTGGCGGAGCCTGTCTAGTCTTGCCACACCGGGTTTATGTTCTAAGAAACTTGTTTTTGTTCTTAGAACATTTTTGCGGGTTCTGAGAACACTTCGTGGTAGGACTATATAAGGAATGCCGGAGCGGCCGGTCCCTGCTCGAGGACCTGCTGGGAAGGCACGGCCGCGCGCGGCGCCGGTGGCGGCCGCCCGCCCGGCGAAGAGGGGGAGGAGGAGGGGAAGGAGGAGGAGGAGGGGAAGGAGGAGGAGGAGGAGGGAAGAGGGGGAGGAGGAGGGGGAGGAGGAGGAGGAGGGCGTCGCCGAGTCCGGGGGGGGAGGCAGGGCTCGTGTCGACTCCTCGCCGCCTCGGTGCGCTGCGGATCGAGAGTCGCTGTTTCGACTCCTCGGGTGCGAGGGAGGGAGACGAGGCTCCCATGCAGATTCCAGTCGGTCCGTCACCAAGTCAGGGAGGGACCTCCTCCTCCTCCTCCTCCTCCTTCTCCTCCCCTCCTTGTTCTCCTCCTCGTTCTCCTCCAGCTCCTCGTTCTCCTGAGGGAGATGGGGCTTCGATTCGATTCGAGTCTACTTCGACGGCTTCTGGCCTCGATCCGACTCGAGCCGTCACCAAGTCAGGAGGGGAAGAAATCCACAGACACAATGAATCGTCGCTTCCCCAGAAAACATAGGACAATAGCAGTGGGGGTGGGGGGAGACAGAGATCCAGAAGATATGGAAAAGATGGGGAATATGTTTATTGGTGTGGGCCCCTTCAACCAAGTCAGGGAGGGAGATGGGGCTCCGATTCGATCCGAGGCTATCTCGGCGGCTTCTGTCTTCGATCCGACTCGAGACTGGGCTCCGACCTGGATGCCGAGTTCTCGATGGAGGCCCTGCTAGCCTGCTGTTGTATACCGGTTCGACTCCTCCCGACCTGGCTGCCGCTTTCCGCCGTTCCGATTCAGGTCGATCGCCGATCCGACTTATTGATTCGATTGTGAGCTTCCCCGGGGAGAAGAGGAGGGGGAGGATGCGGGGGGGGCGACGAACTACCTGCGCTTGCGCGACATCTTCCGGTGACAAATCATGGGAAGTTGATTATCCCTCGCCGTTCCATCTTTAGAACGCGTTAGCGTCGATTCGCGCCTGGTAAACTGTAGTAACCGTCGAGTAAGCGTCGATTAATGAGTGCCGATTCGCAAGGGCCAGCAAGATGGTATTGGATGAGCTGCCACCGAAGATGAGAAGAAGGGGATGGACGAAGGAGGAGTGGACAAGCTAGGTGCGCTCGCGCCATATCGGACATCCTACCCCTCCCACCCATCCTTTCCCATTGCACCGTTGGATTCTCTTTCCGCGGACGCTTGTGGTAGTTGATAGTGGGCCTAGACCTTCCAAACAGATTCCATCGTGTCTTGCGCAATCAAAAAAAGGGGGCTGAGCAGGAGGAACATGCAGAGGATGAGGGAGGATGAGCGGGAAGAGGACGCACAGTGGAATGCAAGAAGCGGGAGGGGCAGGAGGACCAGGGGTAGGCGGAGGAGGGGAAAGGACAACGACGAGGAAGGATTCGAATCCAGAAAGATGGCCCGCGCTGGGGCGAGAGCGCCATCCTCAACGACGGGGGCACAGCGCCGATCCAAAAATAAGGGCCACGCTGCCGCGGGAGCACCGTTCTGAAGCACCGGAAACAATCGGACTGTGCCAACCATAAGAAAAACCATGTTGGCCATTCCTGTGTCCTTGTCAAGAAGTGCGCTGAGAGGGCGGGGCATCTTTTAGGCAGAGTGTGGGGGGAAAGGGGAAAGCAGTATCCGTAATGTGCAGCAGAGGAGGAGGAGGAGGAGGAGGAGGAGGAGGAGGAGGAGGAGGAGGAAGAGGAGCAGGAGGAGGAGCAGGAGGAGGAGGAGGAGCAGGAGGAGGAGGAGGCGGAGGAGGAAGAGGAGGAGGATTCTAGCGATGGATTCTAAAAGAGCGCCTTCAGGCGGCGCGAGCGACCACCGAGCCACCCCTGGTGAGAGCCGAAGCCAACACCAGGCACAGCAGGGGCCCTCCAGACACACTCATGCACCTACAGCTCACGGCGCCGCGGGAGGCGGCAAAGCTGGGCCTGGGTCGAGACACCCCCCGGCAAGTCCAGGTTTTTCCGGAAAATTCCTGGACTTCCCTGCCTGTGTCGGGGCACCCCGTGAAACAGCAGGGTTCCGGCTTGGGGCCGCCCCACTACTCGACCCACCCTCCGAAAACAACCAGGCCGCCGCCTCCTCCTCAGGATCGAGAGACGCAGCCTGGCTCGGCACTGTACTCGCTGCTCCTGGCCCTTCCGCCCCACCGGACCCCGCGGGACACGCTCCCCCACCAGCTTTGAGCTCTCGGCGGGCGGCGGCTTGCTGGACGGCCTCCTCAACCTCGGCCAGGAACGCAGCCTCGCGGATTGCCTTGGGGGCTCCTTCCCGTCTGGGATAGAGCCCCCTGGCAATCCTGGACAAATTCTCCCGCCCTTTGGCAGTCTTGCCAGGGCACTGCTTCTTCAGATATCTGAAATCAACCGTGGCCACACGGCCACACTTGTGGCAGTAGTGGAGGGAGTAGGCCCCCCACCACCCGCGCTTATGGGACGGGTGGATGTCAGCAGCAACCCCCTGCTGGGGCTCCCTGCTCGCACACGGCACCTGCGCTTCCCGACACTGCCTGGACTGCACTGGCACCTGGCACGGGGTAGCACAGAATTCAAGGAGGGAGGCTTTATGAACAAGCTGCTGGCAGACACTGCATTGCCATTTCGAGCCGACTGGGCGAAGCGAGTGGGCCGAGCTCTCGATGGCCGCACGCCGTTTCGAGGGGGGGGGCACTCGCTGCTTGGCTACCCGCTCCGCCTTGGCCGAATCTACCTCGAGGGCCAGCTGGAGTGCCTTGCGGGCGCGTCGCCTCACCAAGGCCGCGGTCGCATCCCACTGGTCACCATGCTCGGCCGCGTGCACCGTGCCAACCTCCGACGCCCACTCCGCCGCCCTCCCCGCCCCAATATCAGCAACCGCGTTGCCGGCTGCCAGGAAGGCCTCGCGCTCCGTTCCGAGCTGCGCCCCATCGCATTCTGCATGGGACGGAAGGAGGCGGAGGAGGAGGCGGAGGAGGAGCCGGAGGGGGCGGAGGAGGAGGAGGAGGAGGAGGAGGAGCAGGCGCCGCCGTCGCCGCCGTCGCGGAGGGCCCCCCCCCCTCCCTGGGCGGCAGGCCGTGGACAGGAGAGACCTGGAGGCCTGCACGCGCGTCATCCCGGGCGTGCTGGACCCCCAGGCGCTCCCGGCGCGGATGCAGGAGCGCCACCCCCTTGCGGTCGGAGGGCGTCGCCGCCGCCGCCCGCCGTCGCTCGGCGCCGCCTCGTGTCCTCACCGGGGGATGGGGAGGTCGAGGAGGAGGAGGAGGAGGAGGAGGAGGAGGAAGAGGAGGAGGATTTTGTTTGCCATCAACGGCTACCAACTGCCCACGTACACCCTGGGGGGCGGGCGATTCCACCCCAGGGGAGAGAAATGAAACAAACAACAAATAAGCTGAGAGCACAGGGTCAGAGCCTATTCTGAACCATGGCTCGCAGCAGGCGCCGCCGAACCGACGGAGGCCGCGAGAAACAGAGCAGCATCCTCCTCTTCATCATCTAGCCTGCGGATCTCCAGCTGGGCCTGGTCCCCAGGCTCGACCTGGCACTCTGGCTCTCCCTCGCTGGGTCCAGCAAGGCTGGGTGCACTGTGCAACCGACGGCCACCCTCCATCTCCAGACGAGCACGAAGGCGCCCCTCAGAGCGCTGGCCCCCCAGTTCCACCTGGCACCTTGGCACAGGGGGCATAAAGTGTCCACGTCTATTGTAACCCCACGCTTCTTGACCGAAGGGTGGAGCCCGCGTTGGAGTTTGGACCACGGGTTCATGTGCGTAATTAGTGACCTTCTGAGGCTCACACTTCTTGCCAAGGTTGGCAAGCCGAGCGCCAGAGGTCATATCATATATCTGCATCTTTGGCATATGCACAAGAAAGACCCGTCGGAACAGTCGACTACAATACAACGGTGGCCGAGGGCTCGCAAAGCCTCAGGCTGCACTCGTAAGGACTGGGAGCAGGCTCCACCCATAGGGGGTGAGCTTGGCTTGCCTCGACGCCCGCGCAAACACTCGCAGCACTGCCAAAAAGAGCCTTCCCAGCACCACTTACGGGGCGGGCGCTGAGGAGTAGACACAGGTTTAGGCGGATCTGGCGTGCGCTCCACACCCGGACCCACAACAAGGCGAGGCCAGGACGGCAACAGGTTGGCCGCTAAAACGCCGACAGCCTCCGCAACCGAAATGTCCTGATCGATCATCTCCGCATACTTTGGATCCAGAGAGGGGTGCGAGGCCACCGCGAGCTTGGCCGAGGCGTCGACGGCGCAGTTACCTTCGCAGCAATAACGCGCCCAGTCATCTTCGCACGAGCTGAGGTCCTGGTGAGCCCTGACTTTACTGACAGAGCACTGGTGTGCAAAAGGCCTACAAAATTGGGCAACCCCCGAATATGTACGCTTGGGAGAGCACTGGGCGTCAAATGGCAAAGCGTGGAAATCAATGAAATTCTGGCAATTCAGGAACAGCTCGCTAGGGCCATTTGACCACGGACAAGCGACGCTGTATGCATAAAACTCGGCCGCCTGGGGCGTCTGGAGACAAGGAGCCCAGACTGGCCCCCGAACCCTGAGTTTCTCGAGACCTGTGGCACGACACCAAACACTGAAGGCCCAACCAGCGCGGTTAAGCTCCGATATGACACGTCTCGTGCAGGATCCGTCGGCGAAAACATTACCCTGGACGTCGGTATTGAGATCTCTGGCTTCTCCAACCCACTCCACCACGATGCCCCCAGACGAAACAGGCCCAGGAACATCATCTCCAGGATGCGGGAAGACCCCGTAGCAAGCCAGGGCATCATCAGCAACAGCAGCAAGTCTGCGGAGGAGGAGGAGGAGGATTTGGAGTTGGAGGGGAAGGAGGAGGAGGAGGGGGAGGGGGAGGAGGAGTTGGAGGGGAAGGAGTTGGAGGGGAAGGAGTTGGAGGGGAACGAGGAGGAGGAGGAGGAGGAGAAGGAAGAGGAGGAGGAGGAGGAAGGGATCCGCAACAAATACGCACGAAAAGGATGTTGCAATCGTCGGTAGGAGGGGAGGAGGCCGTCGTCAGTGAGCATGAGGAGGGGTTCGAGTGTGAAGCTCCTGCGTGAATATGCACGTCCGAGGGTCCGAGTGGTGTTCTTGGGTCGGCGCTGGGCCCCTCGGCGGCGCCTCCGGTCCGGCGCCGCCTTTGGCGCGTTCCGTGCTCCATGGACGGGGGCCTCCTCCTCCTCCTCCTCTCCTCCTCCTCCTCCTCCTCCTCCTCCTCCTCCTCCTCCCTCTCTCCTCCTCCTCTTCCTCCCTCCTCCTCCTCCTCTCCTCCTACTCCTCCTCCTCCTCCTCCTCCTCCTCCTCCTCCTCCCCCTCCTCCCCCTCCTCCCCCTCCCCCTCCTCCTCCGCTGCCCCTGCCCCAACGTGTACGCAGCTGTTCGTTCTCCTCGGGAAGAGGGATGGTGGTGGACCAGGGGGTTTCCAGGATGCGCACTCAGACGTGCGGCTCTGTCGAGACCCCTCCTTGTAAACATTCCATCCTCCATAGTTAGAGATAGGATGGTACATTCGTGGTATCATATGCCCTCCTGCCCCTTCCTCTTCATCCGCTGCCATTTGAGAGCGCAGATCGGTTTCTCAGTACCGAAAACAGGATCCTCCTCTCACTATCGCATGTCATTTCACCCTGGCAACGGAGCCTGGTTGCAACCGACCAGGCTCTCTGCCGCTTTCTGGCTCCAAGGTTCGCGATTGGCTCCCCTGGGCTTTGGAAGCCGCGCTATTCAGACAGTTCGATAGTAGATTCTGTGCAACACTTGGCTTGACGAGAAATTAGCCTAGTCGAACACCCCGTATGTTGCGCTGACTTTTTTCTAACCACGTTCGGCAGAATGTCGATCTCTCAGTACTACGACAAATCCTAAAACCAGACTTTCTGGGAAGACGGCATCAGCTATGGCGGTGCTGGCCACTGCCGGGACACCGGCGGCAGCTGTGGAGCGCCGCAGCCGCCACAGCAACGGCTCAACGCCCGAGCGGTACAGTTTGACATCAGGTACTGCCCCACTGGTCGCACGAGGTTGTGTGGATGCCCGTTCCGGACGTACTTGCAGGACGTCCGCAAATGGGCAGCGCCTCAAAGTTGGCCGTTGAGGCCCGTGGCGGCTCGGTGGTGCAACGCCTCGGCCGCGTGGCCCGGCAGTACGCCCGCGACGTGGAGCCGGGCATCCTGCGCAACGACCGCGCCCAGCTCGACGCCATGGGCCATGGGCCATGGTCGTGGTCTCGGGCCGCGAGATGTTCCTCGAAGGGCTCGCCCGTAAGTTTAGCGCCCGTGAGATCGAGACCTCCGTCTCCGCGGTCGTCGGGCTCCTCACCTTCCGCCGGCTGCTTCGCGAGCTGAGTGACAATTGCCTGGGCCGATTCGAGCTCATCAGGAAGCGGGCCAACAAGTTCGGGGAGTTCCACATGTGCGCGGGCGGCCTCAGCTGGGCACTGCTCCACCCCTGGGTATAAGCACAAGATGCGCTGGCCTCTCATGCTGACCGCCCACGTGTGGCTCTTCCCACGGGACGAGCCAGGCTTCGAAGTGTTCTTGGAGCAGGTCCGGGATAAGCATGGTCTTTTGGAACGTTCGCACGTCGGCGCCAGGACTCGAGGAGGGCTGGCACGTCCCAGCGGACACCAGTTCGTGCTGTACGGACCAATCACTAGCCAGGGGCAGTGACCACCAAGGCGATTGGGCTATGTCACCAGCCAGGAGCAGCGACTGCCATAGCGGTTGCTAAATGGGCGCCTTTGCGGCGACTGGAGGAGGCGAGCTCCCCCGTGCCTTTGGAAGAAACACACAGCACGGCCAATGGACTACCGATGGGAGTCCAGGGTCGCCGCGCGGGTGGGCCCGCGGGTGGCGCGATGTACTACGGCGAACCCGACGCCGAGAGCGAGGGCGAGTACGACCTCATGGAGGCCGAGAACCTCTGGTATTGCGGCGACCTCACCTAAGTCACCTGCGACGAGCCGCGGCACCAGTTCCAGGTTGCCAAGAGGCGCCTCAGGAGGTTTACCAGTCGACCCCGCGTCGTCATCGCTTTCGGAAGGGCAAGGGTAAGGAGGCCTTGATCCACCGTCTCCGGAAGGCCCTGCTGAATGCGGCGGGCGATGCAGGAACCCGTTCGCAGGCGGCCCATACATGCAGCGCGGGCCAATCCTTTCCATGTCCTTAGCCGGCGGCAAGGGGCGTGCCAAGGGACTCCCTGGCGGGCGGGCCGGAGTCTGGAAGCTTAACCCGATCGGCGAAAACGGCAAGCGTTTTTTTTTTTTTTTTTTTTTTTTTTTTTTTTTTTTTGTTCTGCCACGGGTGCGAGTCCGACGACAAATTCTTCAAGGATTGCCCGCTCCAGGGGCGCCTCTACGCGGGGGCCAATGCCATGGCTGGCGGTGGCGCCTGTTCTGTTTGGGTCGGCGGACTCACGGGCGTCGCACCATCAGGGGAGCGCTTCCACTTCTCATCGCCTGCTGCCTCGGAGTCACAGGGCCGGACTCAGCATCCCGTCCAGATGGAGATGGACGATTCGCGCCATGCGCGCGAAGTTGATGTTGATGACGAAGCCGCACTACCTTGTCAGCAATGGCGGCTACAGGATTCAGGTGAGCAGGTGCACGACCCCAGGAGGTCCAACACCGGCCGCCTGCTGTTGCCCTGCTCTGAGATCAGCAAGAGCCAGCGGGCTGACGCCCGGAAGCGGGTGTCTTTCCTTATTGCGAGTCATTGAGCACCAGCGAGTGCGGCGCACAGCGGTTTGGCGATATATTTTGTACGCGACTTCAGTGGCGGGCCGCATACAGGCGACGTTGGACAAACGATGTTTTCCTTGTTGCCAGCCGGCTCAGGAGCAGGTCGCAGCGCCTGATGTGTTCTTGGCGCCCAATCGCCTCTTGCTCCTGCGCATGTTCTTCTGCTCGGCGGATAGGCTTGCGAAGGTACTGTGTCGGGCCATGGGCCCCCTCTTCCCCTTGGCTGCACGTAAAAGAGTGGTCCTCCGCCGGAGTGACCTTCGTTTCGCGGCCAGTGAAGGGTTCGCTGGGAACATATTCAAGCACGCAGGCTGCGACCGACGCATCGCACGCAACAGGCGGCAAAACGCGCACCAAAGGTCACGTTTGCCAGAGGAGGCCATTCATCGATCATCAGAGAACACCTAGCCCTAATAACGCGATGAAATCGCGGCCTCACCGAGGCCCCCGTTTTTGCACTAAGGATAACACGTCCGGGCGGCTCGCTTGGTCTGGTACATCTGCAGAAAAAAACCTCCGATCCCTAGTGTTTTCTGGCCCTCCCAGGTTAGGTCGCCTCTCAAAGAGTTAGGCCTTCTCTTGGATAGCCAACTCTAGCGGTTGGACGATCCCCTGTCAGGTTGCGCCAGGCGCCAGGGGTAGGAGCAAGCCTGGCCTTCCGGGCGTACTTCCTGTTCGTCGTGATCGGGGCGTCCTCCTCGGAGTGCCGCTTCGATGCGGACGATGTTTTTGTCATCCGCGTTCGAGCGGCCATGTTCCCGCTGTGTCCGCGGCTGCCGCGCTTCCGGCGCTGCCCCTGGGGCGCCCGCGCTCGCCTCCGGAAGCTGTGTGGGGGAGGGCCCGGAGCCCCAGGGCGCCGCCCGAGGACTCCCAGCGGGCCTCCGAGCGCGCAGGCTCGTGAAGTTTTGCACGGTCTCCTGCTCGGTCCCAGGGGGAGCTGTTGCGAGGACTTCGGCCTCGCGCGGATTGGGGTACGGTAGGTTTGCGTCGTGTCGACCAGCGGCGACCCCAGCGCGGGCGTTCAAGGTTGAACGCCGCCGGCGACCCAGAATCGATCGATGTTGAACGATCGGACGTTGCAGCAGCGGCCGATCGTTCAAGGTTGAACGATCCCTGCGGTGTCAAAAACCAACGCTGGGGTCGGCACGACACGAACCTGCCGTAGGTGGGTGGGGGAAGGGGGGAAGGGCTTCTTACAGTCTCTCCTGCTTCTTAGAAGGCGCGGGCTCCGTGTGTAGATACAGGGCGGGGCCGGTCCAGAAAGCAGCCTCCTAGGAAGCCTTCCCCGCTCCCGTGCCGCCTCGTGCGCGCCGCCAAGGACCGCCCAGATCAGCGTCGAGCCGCCCCGGAGCATGCGAGTGGGCTCCGACCTGCGTGGCATCCTCGGCTTCCCTCCAGAGACTCGCGGGCCCCACAGAAGCGACCTGCCAGACCCGAGGCAAGGCACAGAGGACAGCCTCGCTGGCGGCTCAGAGAGACTCCCCCGTTGACGACGACAGCGACGAAGAAGATCACGACGACGACGATGACGGCGACGACGGCGGCGGCGGCAGCGGCTGCGGCGACGACTACGACCACGACGATCGTCGAGGAACGGCGACGGGCCGCGGGCTCCAGTGCTGCCCGGCGGCCCGGCCTCCCGCGCACGCGCGCGGCCAGGAGCTGCCGCAGCCCCCGGAGGAGATCCTCGCCTCCATGGGCCTCTGAGGGGCGCGTGCCGGCACGGGGCACCAGACCCACACCAGGGAAGCAAAGGAGTACCAGAGCATAACCGCCCGGAGGTCCGAGCGGATTTCTCTCACCGAGCGCGTTGCACTAATTACTCGCAGAGTGCCGACTCGCAAACTTCCGACAAAAAACACGTGTGTGGCTCGATGTGATATATCGAGGCGGATCGAGGCCATTTGCGAGTAGTTACCTTGCGAGTAGTGGAGCGCGCTCGTCTACTCTCAGTGCCGCCCCAGCGAGCATGCGGCACCGCTCCTGGTGCGCCTCGCGCGCCACGGAGGGGGATCCGGCGCCGATCCAGGAAATCCGAGCGGACCTCCACAAAGCTATGCTCATGACATTTGTTGCTCCCCTACCGCATGGGGCGAGGAGGTGACACCAGCTCGCCGTGGGTCGGACAGGCCCTGAGGGCAAACGGGCCGGGCGGTCGGCAGCGCAGGGGTCATCAATCCCGGGGGGGGATCGAGGACTACTGGAGAGTGGCCCGCAGGGGGCCCTGCTTGGCCCCCGTCCTGCCACCGCGGGCCCTCACGGTGGGCGAGCGGCGCAAGCTCCTTCACGCTGCGTTTCTGCCCCCCCTTCGACGAACACCGGAAAAAAGCGTCAGAGGGGCGCTCGGATCGCTGTCTGGCTCAGGACGCCCTCGGCGGGCCCCAGGGCCAGCAGGAGACGACTCAGGCTTGGGGTCTGGGGCCAGGCCCCTCCCAGGGTCCAGGTCCCGTTTCCTTCAGGGCCCGTGTCCCCCCTGCCGCAGCAGGCCCCACCCCCCCGGCGAGGCAGGCCCACGATGCTTGAACGAGCGGGAGTGGAACAAGCAGCTGCACACGCGCAGACTCGGAGGCCCGCGTGGACTGTTCTTGGATTGGGGCCGGACCCAGCCGTCTGCGCCTGAGGCGTCGGAGTTCCGCGCCGCCAGGGCGGTCCAGCGCGGAGTTCCGACAGTTTTACGCTTGTGCAATGCTTTCTTCCTCCACCGAGCTGGTTGGGCAAGGCGAGTTAAGCCAGCGACACCACGCCACCACGAGGGCCCTCCCCTGATCCCTAGCGATGGCGGTGCTGGTGTCGCTTTGTCCTTCGTCCCTCCGAGGCGGGGGTTGAGCCATAACCACTGCCTGGAGGATCGAGCTTCGGGGGCCTCGGCGGGCGATGGATATGGGTATGCTCAGTCCCCCAGGGACCAAACTATACCTACATCCACCGCCCGCTGGGGTCCCAGACGTAGGTTGCCTGGGCGAGGAATATGGATAGATCCCCGCCTTCAGTCCCATCGTGCTGGGATTTTTCAGCCCTCAGGCCGCTTGTTGGTGGGCGCAATTGTTCTTGACCCCGCTCCCCTGTCGCACTGTGAGCCCTAGGAGAGAGAGGGTGTCAGGAGTTGGCGGGGTCGATGGCACATGAGTCGAATGGCTTGCGCCATCCCGCCGACTCCCAGAGGAGAAACGAAGTACACGGGCGACGCCTTTTGGTTTTGGGAGCCGTTTGAGGAGCATATTGGGACGCATGTTGGGTTTTCGGGGGGCCTGTTGGAACCTCTTGGGGGTCTGTCGGGCGCTTGCTGGCGGTCTCGGAGTCCTCTTGGGCCGCTGGGCTCGAAATGGAGGTTCGGGTTCCCCCTCTTGGGCGCCTCTTGGGCCGTTCTGCGGCCCTCTTGCGTCGTCTTGGGGCCCTCGTATGGACATCTCGGGCTGTCCTGGAGCGATATGGGGGGCCTCTTGAGCTGTTTTGGACGCTGTTGAGACCAAACGGGTGGATGTGCCAAACATGCGCGTACTTCCACGGAATGAGGATTGTGTTGGCCTTCTGGGCCCTATTGGGTGTCCTCATGGAGCTTTTTGGGGACATCGTGTGTTGAGGGTTTTCTAGCGTGTTTGAGCCCAGCGTGAGCAAGCTTAGATGGAATGTAGGGCGTCTTGGAGGCCACGGAGTGTCGGGATAGATGGCACATACTTTGAATGATGTTTGCCGTCTGGAGTATCCAGGGGACCCGCTGGGAGGGAGCTGGCGGAGATGTGAAGGCTTCATGCTTCATGTATCGTTCGGTGCGTCGAAATACCCTCTGGCCTTTTCCATTGGCGCATGTCCTCGGTGGGGAGCTTCTCGGAAGGCGGGGGGAGGATGAGAGTAGGATCAAGGGGAGGGACGGAGGAGGAGGGAAGCGGAAGATTGGGGGGTGGATTGTTACACGGCGATGGCGATGAGGAGCGACGAGGATGAGGACGAGGACGAGGGGAGAAATGAGGACGAAGCGGACGAGGAGGAGGGGGAGGTTCCGACCTCCCTCATCCTCCTTCCGGCAGGCTCCCCGAAGAGTTCCCTTGGGGACGTCTGCACGCCTCCGAAGAGTTCCTGTGATCCCCGAGATATCCCCCACGATCTCCGCGCGATCGCCACGAACCGCCTTTCTTTCTCCCTCCGCGGTGGGCGTGTCGAATGAGAAGTTGGCCTGCCCACAGGTGCCCAACGGAACTGTGCTTTCCCCCGATGGTTAGGGGAATTAGAAAGTCTTCACGCGTCGCGCTACCCCCGCTCACCATCCAACGATGCCTGAACTCCTAGAGGTCTCTTGGGGCGTCTTGCCTTCTCTTGTGAGGCCTCTGGGGGGCCGGCCTCTTAGGCCCCTTTCGGGGCCGCCTGGGGGGGTGTCTTGGGGCCCTTTTGAGCTCTTTGGTGCCTCTTGGGCGCCTCTTGGGGCACTTTTCAGTCTTTCTTGGAGGCTCGTCGGGCCCGCTCGGGGCCATCTTCGAGGCAATCGATCGAAGGAGAGGGAATCAATTTGGATCGCCCCCCCCCCGGGAGGCCAAACTAGGCCCAACACTGCAGCCAATTTGCACGCTCCAACCACTCGGCCCCCGTCCAGACCTAGGGCCGGGGAGGGGACGAGCTACCTTCCCCGTCCGCAAGCCGTCTCGCTCACTCCCTCCCGCCCTCCCAACACAAAGTAACACCCAAGTCTCAGCAAATCGCCTAGGAGCGCTACGCATGCCATGCGCGCCACGGTATCGAGGTGCAGCAGGCACCCTGGAGGCCCAAGCGTGCTGGGCGCGCCATGTTCGTTACGAGCTCGCGGGGAGCACATGGAGCACCCGGCACCCCGCCGTCCTTGTGAGAAACCAATGCAAATGGGGCGCCCGTGCATGCTCCGGGTTTGGTGGCGAACTGGCCGATTTTCGTTAAAGCAATTAGGATGGCAAGCTGGGTGGCAATTTGGGTGGGTCGCGGATGGGTCGCGGGTGTGTCGCGGGTGGTTCATGGGGTTGGTTGCGGGTGGGTCGCAGCTGGGTCGCTGGTGGGTCGCGGGGTGCGTCGAGGGTGGGTCGCGGGCCAGATCGTGGGTGGGACGCGGGCCGGATCGCTGGTGGGGCGCGGGGGTGTCTCAAGCCAGGTCGCGAGTGGGACGACGATAAACAATAGATCAAGCATTGCAGAAACAGCAACAAAAATCATTTGACCTGACTTTTTTGTGATTCGATATGCAGCATGCATCCATCCATCATGACACTTTCCCCTCATTGGTGATTTGTTCCTTGCGCCTGGGGTCCGACATTCCCTCAACCTGATCTCCCGCTCGAAGATATATTGACAACGCCTCTTCCGAGGCAGTTCAACATTTCCAGCCCGGATGGCACATCGCCTTCGCGATCTCTCTGCCCAGGCCTTGATTCCAGGTATCACGACGCTTGAGTGGCCTAAGACCTCTGGGAGAGGCCTCACATCCTTTGGGAGAGCCCCGTGGAGAGCCCCCAAAGGCTTTAATCTAAGTTCCAGAGTTTCGTCCCCTAGGCTGTCGACCTCTTCCCAGGGGCCGCTTCTGCGTCGGCCACTTTCTGATGGCGCCGGGGCTCATCGTCGTCGTCGCCGCCGCCGCCGCCGCCGTCGCGGCCGCCGCCGTCGTCGTTGTCGCCGTCGACGTCGACGTCGTCGTCTTCGGGCCCAGAAACGCCCAGGGGTCTCGACTTGCCGAGCACGTCTCAGGCGAGAGCGCCCGTCCAGGATTCGCGCCAGGCTTCGCCAGAATAGCCCTGCGCAGAACAGGACAGGTGGCGAATCGCCGCGAAGAGAGCAAACAGTTGTCGAGAAAGCAGACGCCTGGTTTTATATCGACTCCAGGGATGCTGGCGTTGCAGGCTCGGATCCAGGCTCGTGGGGCCACGGCGGCGGCAAAACCTTCCGCTGCTCCCGCGAGGTGATGTTTCCGCCCGTCCTGGACACCAGGTCTTGGATCCGCGGTTGCTGGGCTCACGTGGTGGGGCCGATGTGGAGTTTCATGTTTCCTGCTTGGCGGTGCTGGTTACGCAGCCGGCCTTGGAACTCGGGCTTTGGAGTTCCGTCAGGAAGGCGTTGTTGGCCGTCCTTTTCACCGCCACGTGTGTGACCATTGCCTCCTGCGCGCGGTCGTGGGGTTGGAGGATGCTCCCCCTGCGGCGATCGCTGCTCAGAGGGGGCCGCCTCTTTCGTTTAGTGTGCGGGTCTGGGTACGGGGGAGGCCGCTCCGTCCTCCCTTTTTTCTCGGGGCCTGGCCCTGCACCGCGTGGCCCACAGCTGCTGCTAGGTGGCCCTGCCCGTCGGGGCTCAGTGCACCCATGCAGGATTGGCAGCCGCTTTTGATCGGCTGATGCGATATACTTTGCAGACCCTGAAGGAACGCTGAGCAAATCATCCTCCCCCTCCTTTTCCTCCTCCCGACATTCAACTACCCAAAAATATCGAAACATCTCCCTGGCGCTGGTATCTCCAAGAGTTCCAACAGGCTTCCGAGGGTGTCCTGAGCATTGCGAACACGACGACGACGACGACGGCGACGGCGGAAGCGGCGGCGGAGGCGACGGCGGCAGCGGCGACGACAGCGACGACGCCACGCACCGGGATCCGAGCGAAAACGAGTTCGCGCGGAACAGACGCGAGACCGCAAAACGCGCATTGAAAGGCATTCAGGGTTGTCGACAAGAATCATTGTCTACCGGTGGCGACGACGACGACGACGACGTTGACGACGACGACGACGATGACGACGACGGCGGCGGCGGCGTCGGCGACGACGACACGGCCCAGAACACGAGCGACAGCGATATCGCGCGTAGCAGGCGCGAGGGCACGAAAGCGCAAACGGGGTGTGCAACACTACAAAAACTTTGCTGCAATTACAGAGACATCTGATTCTTCAGGGCGATTTGGAATTCCGGACTAAAATTGGCAGAAGTATCCAGCGGGAGCGCCAGTCGTGCGGTGACAAGCGCGGAGGTATCGAGCGGGAGCGTCGATTTTATGGGGAAGTCGCTTTGGGTGGGCGAGCGAAAGCCCCACCGCCAAATGAGACAGGAAGACGTATCGAGCCTGAACGTCGTTGTTGTTGGGGGGCCGGCCTTGGTGGAACCCCCAAACGCTTGAACGCGAGCTCAATGTTCAAAGGAAGTGCAGCCAACGCCCAGGCGAAAGCGCCAACGCAGTCAGGATGTCCAATTGAGTGTTTATTAGTGAAGGTCCGGCGACAACAACAACGAGGACGCCAACAATCATGTCGATGTTTGTTCGCTGTGCTTTGCATGCGCGTCAGTTAACGCGTATATGCCAAATCCTCGACGCGCGCCCACGCCATTTTCTGCTGTATTCTCTGATGGGTATATGCGTCTTATCTGTGACGCTGGATGGAAAGAGGGGGCGAGGGGCGGACGAGATTTTGCAGCCGGCGTCTTGCATGAATCGCGACGAAATGTAGAGCGACACCGCGAGTTCCAAAACATTCGCGCGGGCATCCGCAACGAAAGCGCGGTCCCTGAGTGTCGAGGGCGCGGTGATTGCGCAAATTGGGAGGCAGTCCCATGCGGGAGGACAAATCTTGTGTAAAGTGTGAGGGGCTCAGGGAATACGTTGTTAGGAAGTATTTGGCGGAAGCCGTTGTTGTAAACCGCGGCCCAAAACGCAGTTTGGTATCACATGTCCACCCATTGTCAAAAACAGTGTGCGATATCGGGGACGAAATCATTTATTTGAACACGTGACAATTGGTTATTTGGGGGGGGAAGACCAACAATCATTGTGATCAATGGCGAATCAACAACCATCATATTGAGTTTGTTCGTTCTTACCTGGTCGCGCGCCACTCAACACATATATCGTCGCATGCCTCGTCTTCGTTCTCGTCGGTTGGACCCGACGACGGCACGAAAATGGATCAAGGCTCCTCTTCCTCGCGCCTCTTTCTTTTCTACCCTTGTTTGCTGCCCCCATCGCCTCCTTCCCCGAAGTTCCTCCCCCCTCCTTCCCTTTTTCTTTTTCTCCCACCTCCCCCTTGTTGCTTCCTTCCCCTTGCCCCCCCCTCCACTCCTC